GACAAAATATTAAGCACAGGTAAAAACAAGAATCAAATGTAAAACACTATGAGCGCCTTTTATTAGACAAAAAGGATTTTATTCCCTTCTTTGTTATTGCGAAGGGAAATACCTCAACGTGGTGCGGGAGTGCGGCCGCGATGTGACGTGTCCTGACGCTAAGGAGGTCCTGTACACCCTGAAGGAGAGAGCTTATGTGGAGCAGATAGAGAAAGCTTACAACTACGCCAGCAAGGTCCTGTTGGCCTTCCTCATGGAAGAGAAGGAGCTGGTTTCACGGCTCAGGTAAATGGATATTCAAGTCCTTTATAACGAGGGAGTGACTGGAAAGATTTTACCACAGATACATGGACGGGATCAGTGGCATTTGAAAGTCCTCGTGTCCTGTATCGAAGCATCTGCATTTGTTATGTTTCTCCATTTATTTCTAATAATATTTTAGTAATAATTTGTTGTCTTGTAACACAGATTACATTCTGAAAAACAAGGTAAAAACAACATACATAAAAGGCTTAGCTAAAAGACTTTTTTTAAAAAAATACATAAATTGAGTTTTTTTTTTTTTTTAAGAAACAGCACAAAGTATAAAAGACAAAAAAACACATGAAGGGCCGAAATAGGACAGACTAAACAAAAGCACAGCATAATCTCTGCATTGTTCATAACATTAAGGATTCAAAAGTCTGTCTGCACAAAAGAAAAGCTTGCTAGCTCACAATGTTTCCAATCGTAATTTATAAAACTATATGTGCCTTTGTTGGTTTCATTAGATCCATCAAACACTACTTCTTGATGGACAAAGGCGATTTCTTTGTGCACTTCATGGACCTGACGGAGGAAGAGCTGAAGAAGCCAGTGGACGACATCGTTCCCCCCAGACTCGAAGCCCTCCTGGAGCTGGCTCTGAGGATGAGCACCGCCAACACAGACCCCTTCAAAGACGACCTCAAGGTGGGTGGAAGCAAGACTTAATAAGTTCTGTGTAAACTGTGGTGCTGAAATAATACAATTACAGTAGATATATTAAAGCTGCTATTATCTATATTTTGTATTCAGTCCTCTCAAGTCTACAGAGCGTTTTAGCTTCTTTCAGCTCGTTGTTTTGGTTTTCTGGCTCCAACTTTACTGTTTTGGTTCACTCTCGTCGAGCCACTAAAACAGAAGTGAATATTCGACATGAATTCATCAGGTGGACACAAACACGACTCCAAATGAATAATGTTGCTCTGTTTTTAGTGTTAACAACACTGAGCAACTGGGTAATATGTTAAATGTGACTCAAGTCAGTTATTGCAGGTTTAAAGACGTCTGAAACATCTCTGTACAAAGTCAGATTTAGTGTAAGTGAGTCATCGAGGGGTTCCTCACCATGTTCTCGCTCTTGATTCAACATATAATTAAATAACCTGCCCGGCACTGATGCTGCTGGATTATGACAAACAAATCATCATCATCATCACGAGGAATTTGGTCAATATTGAGATCACGACTATTTAATAGGATTACTCATTGACTTTGGAAACATTCCACATTTATTGACTTTAATAAAATATATTTATATAAAGTATAACGTTAAGTATTTATTTATAAAGTCTCAGTTACAGTTACAGTTTCTCACCCAGCAGGAGATCTTTAAGAAGAAAAATACTGGAAAGGTTCAGAATGACTTAATAAAACTTGCATCAATCCCTCCTTTCCATCATTACACCATTACTAATATATTCAGTCTATTAGTCTTCCTTCACTCAGACTGACCTCATGATTTCGTCACGCTGTTACACACTTCCTCTCTTTCGTTCCACAGATTGACTTAATGCCTCACGACGTCATCACTCAGCTGCTGCGGGTGCTCGCCATCGAGACCAAACAGGAGAAGGCCATCATCAACGCGGACCCGACAGACGTGGCCCTCAGCGGGCTGGAGGCCTTCTCCTTCGACTACATCGTAAAATGGCCGCTGTCGCTCATCATCAACAGGTTCTGTTCTGATTTTATGTATTTGTAGGTTTCATTTACGGGCAGCTGCCTCCCCATGCGAGCCCTCTGGATCCGATCCGAAACCGTATTTCTTTTCCTCTTGCAGGAAAGCCCTGACGAGGTACCAGATGTTGTTCAGACACATGTTTTACTGCAAACATGTCGAGAGGCTGCTGTGCAACGTGTGGATCAGCAACAAAGATTTCAAGCAGTACTCGTTACGTTCTCCCAAATGGTGAGTTCATGTCGCATTTTAAGTTGAATTTATGTAAACGATCTCACTCTCGTCACACTGTTCAAACTTCCTGTACGCAGGTTTGCTGCGGCGTTCGCCCTCCGACAGCGGATGCTCAACTTTGTGCAGAACATCCAGTACTACATGATGTTTGAGGTGATGGAGCCCACCTGGCACATCATGGAGAACAACCTGAAAACAGTGAGTGAATGAGCTCTCCTGTCTGTCCCGATCACTCGCTGTTATTGTTTCTGCGCTCATGTGAGTGAACACTGAAAAAGAGACAGACAGGTTTTGCAGAGTATGTGTTGTGGTCTTCTTCTTCTCCAGGCGTCAAACATTGACGATGTGCTTTGCCACCACACGAGCTTCCTGGACAACTGCCTGAAGGACTGCATGCTGACCAACCCCGAGCTTCTCAGGATCTTCTCCAAACTCATGGCGGTCTGCGTCATGTTCACAAACTGCATGCAGGTTAGATGACTTCCTATTAGAGCTGTGCAATATGATGATATGTATATATACAAACATGCAATACTGAGGGTCGTTAAAACCTGTCGGATCCCAAATGCTTCTTTTAAAATGTTTGTTTTTTTCTGTTACAGCGGTTCACTCAGAGCATGAGGTTAGAGCGCCTCTCTCTGGAGCAAGGGACAATGGATGGACCTCCCACTCAGAGCGAACATGCTGAGGATGCCGAGAGGAAGAGGCTGACCACAAAGGTAAACGCTCATCGCCACGGTTGAACTGATATCTCTCTCTTTTGGGGGTTAAAGTGTCTCCAGTGACACGTTTGTGCTTTCAGTTTTTAGCCGAGTACGTGGACGCCCTCCAGTCGGACGCAGGCTTCGAGGCCACCATCAGTAAGTTTGACAGCAACTTCAGCATGCTGCTGCTGGACCTGCTGGACAAGCTGAGCATCTACAGCACCAACGACTGCGAGCACAGCATGATCAGTATCATCTACAGGTACAACTGCTGTGTTTGTGCGTGCATTGTGTGGTTTTTCCAGCTTCCGACCAATTGGTTTCCATTCGTTACTGCTTTTATTTTGACAGGTCTTTGAAAATTTAAGTTTTTAAGTTTTTTTTTAATGTGGTTTTTGAGGGAAGAAGTTTATTTAATCTTGATATTTTACTTTAATCTCTGCTCTTATAATGTCACAGGCTGGATTTCAATGGATTCTACACTGAGCGTCTGGAGAGGATGGCCATAGAGCGGAGTCAGAAAGCAGCAGCGTAGCAGGTTGTGTATTTACTGTCACCCAGCAATAAAAACATCCTTTCCTCGCGTCTGTCCATCGCTTCCAACAACCAACCGTCCAGATAATAACCACACAGACGTCGGCTGTTGATTCAAAAGAGCCGATACTCCAGTGTGTGTATGTGATTATATATTATGGACTGTATCGGATGTAGAGTTATAGTCTGATGTTTGTTGACTTCAATGCTTCAAAAATGTTTATTCTGCTCTGAAAATGAAAGTTGTGGCACTTCTTATGGGTAACTTATTGTACCTGTACAATAATAACAATGTATGTTTGTATTCATTAAAACTTTACTGAATGAAGACTCCCTTTGCCTTAAATATGCACTGTTTCTGACTGTTACCGTGGCAACCTCCCTGCTGACAAAATAAAAGTAATTCTGATGTTCCTATTTCTGACTTTATTCTCACAATTATGCTTTTAAAGTCAAAATGTATACACATTATTTATTTTTAATTTATTTTTTGACTATTTTTTGTCAGTTGAAAATAGTAAAGTACTTGATTATTATTATTATTATTATTATTATTATTAAGTAGTTATTGGTAAAAATAAATAAAAAATTAACCGAAGAGTCATACCGGAAACTTGACGGGACAAACTTCAAAATAAAAGCGTGAAACTTGACAGAAGAGTTTGTATAAGTTAAAATATTAGTTTATTCTTCATACAGCAGCTAATTGAGTCTAAAAAATCTAATTAAATTTCAAATGTACAAAGTTCATTGTATTACGTTGTTAAAGTATTTGAGTACAATGAAAAATGATAATTTTGACCCACCAATATTAACAACAATAAACAAATACACATAATTATTTGTATTTATTTATTTACACTATGTTACCTCCTGCTGTGACCTGTGCAATGTTCCTTATTAATCACATCTGTATATAAAAAACTATAAAAATGTATATATAACTATCTTTTTCTTTTCCATTTTTGAATATAAAATGTGTGTTTTTATATCTGCTGTGTTGTATCTGGAGCTGCTGGAATGAGGATCAATAAATCTTATCTATTATTATTATTAAGAAAACCTAAAAAAAAAAATAATAACCCCTAGAACATATAAAATATAAGATTGCAAAATTAAAAACAATAGCAGAAATGAAAACAACTAAAGTATGAAGTAGTGGTCGTTTCTTCAGATAACAAACAGACATTAATGGATGCTAAGCAGCCTAACAATGAATCCAGCAGCACATATTAACAGAAAAGAGGAAAACAACAACAACAACAACAACAACAACAATATTGGTTAAATTTAATTAACTTATTATATTATTATCATTTATAAATGCCACAAGCTTGGAGCAACTTTTAAAAAATGCACTTGTGAATGTAAAATACAATATAATAAATAATAAAACAATTAAATAAAAAATAAAATAAATAACTACAATGAAAATTTCAGCGGGAGTTTGTTTTATTCTTCTAAATCGGAGCTCGCTGGACGGTTTCTTTCCGGTAAACATGCGAGGCGGCGATAAGAGAGAACCGGGAGGCGGAGCTTTAACGGAACAGCTGCTGGACGACCGATGACTAACGGTGGTTGAGAGACAGAGAGCCCGAGCAGAGTGCACCATCATGGGAGCGAACCAGGTCTCAGTGTGGCTGATGTGGGGTGAGTTTATCTATAATAAAACACTTTCATTAAGTTTCCAGTGCAGCTTCCTCACAGCTCTTATACATTATAATGTTACATACTTTTATTATGCGGTCATTGGTCCTGCTTTAAAGTGTCCAAACGAGCTAAAATCAGTAGAAAAAAGGTGAATTAGTGGCTTTTGATGAGCTTTAATGAGCTTCCCGCCTGTTATAATGTTAATTAATGTGTCTTTAATGCATTTTATTGTTGTAGTGTTTTAAAAACAAATAGTCTATAATTAGTTAGGGAGTGCCGATGACTTCCTAGAAGTCTGTGAAACATTAAAAGCAGCAATATCTCCACATTCTGCTCATAAATCTACTGTAATAATAATAATCATAATAATAATAATAATAATAATAATGAAATGTTGCCTGCTGTGTGTAGTTTGTCTCGTGCAGTGCTCGGGGATGTTGTCTCACGTGGAGAGATATGAGGTGGTCAGACCTCAGAGACTCGCGGGGAGACTAAAGAGGAGCCTGCGGGACAACCAGGTGAGTACAACGCACCTTCCTCACCTTCCTCACCTTCTTCACCCTCCTGTGACACCTGTTAGTCATGGAGCTGGTGGAAGAACTACCTGATGTTATAAAAAGCTGAATATTATCACTAATGTACTTATAAAAAGATATTTCTCTGTAATCTAACTACTGTAGCTGTACTTTAATTACTGTTGGATCATATTTTATATATATCACAATGTTTTGCATGTTAAACCTTTCTTCTTAAAATAACTACAAATACATCTAGTGCATTAAAAAGTATAAAATGTGATAAAGTTAAGTAGCATTAGATGGAAATACTCAAAAAAGAGACTTTAAATGTTACTTTCTCATCTGTTTATTACAGTAATTCAGTAATATAATATATAATAATATAAACATCTTAATTAAGGGAGATTCTGCCTAATGAGTACTTTTACTTTTAATAGTTTAAGTGGACAATAGCGGTATTGTTTTGTTTATTTCAAGAATCCGATTTCTTTTAAAACCTCAAACACAATTATGAGCTCATATAAACGGTATTTTATGGAATATATATAATCAGTTATATTCAATATGCATCCATTGTCCTTGAATTGATGAATCCACCGTTGTTATTGCCCCTCTTACAGGATCAGAGAGGTCATATAGAGGCATCAGGATTAAACTGAGACTGTTTCATAACCAGTTAAAACTCCCTGAAGTACATTTACATTAAAACTTACAGGACTTATACCTGTAACAGAGTATTTTTACTGTGGTTTTACCCAAGTAAAGGTTGTGAGTCATTCTTCCACTGCTGCTAATTGGTCTAATTGTTATCAATACCTTGTTATCAATACTTTTTCATGTGATGATCTTGATTTTTCAACAGCTTTATCCTGATACAGTTCGGTACGAGTTAGCTGTTGAAGGGAAGAAGCACACGATTCACCTGGAAAAAAACAGGTAAACATTTCAGATCCCACTTAACAAAATATGTATTTTTAATATTTAAAAATGTAAATATATGTTATGTATATATAACATGTTTTTCCGACTGTATTTTATAGGAATCTTTTTGGGAAAGGCTACACTGAAACACACTATTCAGAAGACGGAAAACGTGTGACAACGTCACCAAATGAGGTGAGATTTGACTTTAATTGACCTCAGAAGTGTTAAATTAAGACAAAAAGATGACATTTTTAATAGAGTAGTTGAAAATAATGTTTTATAGTCGGGAAATTAGATGTTTTTCTTTATTTTATGACATTTCTGTACAATAAAATGTATTTATTCATATAACTGAACTGACCTAGTGCACTGAATTTAGTGCAATGATACTGAATGAAAAGTTTACTGTAAGTGACCCAAACATGATAAAGATCTGACATACCTAACCTCTGATTCATAATCTCATGGACATTAAAGACAAAGAACTCCCTTTGTGAGTCTTTGAGAAGAATGTAAACTAACTCCGGCAGATTGAACGCACAGATTCATCTTTAATTGATCGTGTTTCCACCCAGGAGCACTGCTACTACCACGGTCACATCGAGGGCATGAAGGACTCTTCGGTCAGCGTCGGGATCTGTTCGGGCGTTAGGTAAGAAGATGTTTCACTGCTTCAGAACATCCTGTTTGTAATTTGCCGTCAGTAAAAGTTTATCAGATTTTTGTGAAATGTGTTGCTTCATGGTGTTTGGTCATCAGTTGATTAATCTTTCTACCACACTTCCTTTCCTTTATTGAATGTCACCTTGTCCAGTTACTGCAGTATAACTTGTATATAATCTGTTTTAATTGAACTTATTTTCCTTTTTATTGTGTTTTTAAATGTCCTTAATTTGTTTTTATGCCTTTTCCCCCTTGAAATCAATGAAACAAGGTGGTGGAATCAGTACCACTTTTGTCCACAGGGGTCGCTAGAATCAACACAAAAAAGTACCAGTTTATTTATCTATCTAATCTATCTAAGTTTTGGAGATATCAGCGGTTGGTTTGTGGTGCTTAAAAGCGCCAAAAAACTCAACAGTAATGCCTCTTTCCAGAAATCATGACTCGGTTACTCAAGATAATCCCTAAACCTTGCTCTGAGAACTTCCATATAGGGACTATTTTCTTTCTACGTATCACCGCACAGTAGGAAACGTTCATCTACTCACAGTCGAGAGGCTCGTGCTCCTGACGGCAGAGGATGTAACGCTAGCTATCTCCTCGAAAAGCATCGCAAACCAACCGCTGATGTCTCCAAAACTAAAACTATCTAGATAAATAAACAGCACTACAGGCAAGAGGAAGAACTGTCCCTTTAAAGCCCTCACGAGGAATACTTTTTTATGTTGATTCTGGCGACCCCTGTGGACAAAAGAGGTACTGTTTCCACTGCTCCTGTGTTCACAGACAGTTTATAGTGGACAAAACTATCCCCATTTATAAGTCGAATCACATTTATGAACATATACAATTTGTTCTCAGTGGCTTTGTGCGAGCCCGGCAGCAGCTCTACCTGATTGAGCCTCTGGGACAGTCTGAGGACGACGACCACGCAGTTTACAGACAGGAACACCTGAAGTTCAACAGCAGGCCCGGCTCCTCGTCCAACACCACCATATCGTACGACCGGGACCAGGACCAGGGCCCTCGACCCGCAGGACTCTTCAGGTCCAGATTGTGGGTAGGTGACTAGGTTTTATCCAATTCAGCCAGAAGATGATGGAAGTTCAGGGGTCTAAAAGTGACTCTTAACACTGTAACATCCAGATTAAAGACATGTTTTATGTAAAGGCAGATTTTAGAATCAAATTCAAAGTCTCCAATCGTGAAAATTAAGTCTTCTTAAGTGGAGACGCAAGTTTATCTTTTAAAAATACATTTTTGATGATGATAATAATAATTATAATTAAACATTTTAAGTACTTTTCAAGCTTAATTTCCTATGGCGGCCCATTTCCGCCAATGTGAGAGAAAAATTATTCTGTAGAAATATGGTCAAATATTATGATAAGATGTACAGGGAAGTGACACACTGGAACTGAAACTAACTAGTGTGCGTGTGTATGAGTGAGTAAAATATGAATAATAATCAAATAATCCTGTTCTTATTTCCTTTTCTTTGCTTTCTGTTACATTTAAAGACGCTACAGGCAAATATTTGTTTGTGAGCTGGTCACAAACATCAGCGTTACCTGTAATGTCTCTTTAATGTGTAGTTTCTATTGTAGTAAAAGTAATAAACAGCTGATATAAGAGATATAAAGCAGTAGACGGATCTTTTTTTGTACTTCTTTATGTCAATTTAAATGAGAATATTAATATAACGGTTTTTCTTTTTTTATCAGAAATCTAAAACCATCACAGGTCCGCAGAAGTTTGTGGAGCTGTTTGTGGTGGTGGACAATGCTGAGGTAAATATCATAGTTAAAATCCCTTTTAAAGCTGTTCTTTTACATCGTATCTGACCGTGTTTCTCTTCCTCCAGTACAACCGATACGGAAGCCAGACTAAATCCCGTATTCTTGGAGTTATAAATCACGTTGACAAGGTAAAAGCATGTTTTTCCTTCCCTCGTCTCGCCACCGGAAGCTCCCGGTGCGTTCGCTGAAATAACTGACGTCTCCTCTCCCCGCCTGCAGCTGTATCGATCTCTGAACATCCGGGTCATGCTGGTGGGCTTGGAGATCTGGACGTACGAAGACCACTTTAACGTTCACCTTAATTCGGAGACGGCTCTGGACAATTTCCTCCTGTGGCGACAGGCCAGCCTTCTGCCGAAGACGAAGCACGACAACGCCCAGTTTGTGACGTAAGGATGAGTCTCAGATCTCCGTGCACACGTTGAACGCTTTAATGCAGCCAGTTTGACCTGATGTGAGACTTCTTTGTCCCTCATTGTCCCTCAACAGTGGCAAAGATTTTGATGGAGATACAGTTGGACTCGCGAATAAGTTTGCCATGTGTTCTGAGAACTCCGGCGGAGTGAATCAGGTACGAGTAACGACTTCCACTAATCCTACCAACGGCCGCAGGTGGAAGGTGAGAGTGTTTCGGTATCTCGTGATACATTCTGCTGCTTTTCTCCTCCAGGATCACCATGACAACCCGATAGGCCTCGCCTCCACCATCGCTCATGAGATGGGACATAACTTTGGCTTGTCCCATGATGCCACGGGTTGTGTGTGCGGTCCGTCGTACAGCGGGAACTGCGTGATGGCGGATAAGCTCAGGTGAAGTCTTGATCGGTTTTCAGGAAGTAAAATTAACAAATAATAAACAAACAAAAGTAAAATGAGCTTATAATTATTAGCATTATCATACTATAACAGCTACCTGCTGTTTCTGTCGTGGTGATAAAACATTAAGAATGATACATATGCCCTCTATCCTTGGTTTGGGCTAAGTCACTCACTGGTTCTGATTAAGGGGAATCTTAATGCTGCAGCACTCACTCATATTCAGACTGTAGAGTTCTTCCAACTCTGTGGCAGTTTTCTTTTGTTTCTTGTTTGAACATGACAGTGTCTCGGTGCACGAAGGTGGTTTGACTAGTTTAGTGTGACAGAAAGTGACTAGCCTGCACTTGTGGAAAGACAGAAACCAGAAGAGTGGAGGCTGTAATAGCAGCAGATTAACAGAATTAAATATTCAGCAATCACATACGGATGTAATGTCCAGGTGTCCACACACTTTTGGCCATGTAGTGTAAATCCTGTTTTCCTCCTCTTCAGGACGGGAACTCAAGCATTCCCGGAGTTCTTCAGCGACTGCAGCATAGAGCAGCTCGCTGAATTCATGGAGCGCGCTCAGCCCAGCTGCCTGTCCAAGCCGAGCTCCGTTAAGACCATCGCCATCGCCCCTCGCTGCGGCAACGCCATGCTGGACCCCGGAGAGGAGTGTGACTGTGGCACTGTGGAGGTAAAACCTTCAGTGGAGGCTCTGACTCTAACAGATGAGTCATTTTTGGGACCTTGGAAAGTTTTAATATAACCTCTGGTGAAGGACGTCATTTGGTTGTTACTGTTTTAGCTGACTGGTGTGGTTTCCTGTGTGCGAGGTTACAGTTAATAAAAGGGAATCAGAGGCATCCCAAGCTGGCCTCAAAATTTAAAATAGTTTTCCTGTGAGCTCACGTTCTTGGCAGAGATGTTTGTGTGGGAGATTTAGATCTGTTCTGTTTTCCGTTAACTTTCATCACTGCATTTCCTGTTGAAGATGTAACTGGATACACAAACATGACTCAACTGAAGAAGATCGTGTTTGATTGTGTTTTCTAGGAATGCAGGAACCCGTGTTGTGACGCTTCAACTTGTCGCCTGACTGAAGGCTCTCAGTGTGCTCATGGACAATGCTGTGACAACTGCCAGGTACATTTACACAGCTGCCTTTAATGAAGCTTTTAAAGTGGCTTTCTTAGACTTTGTCAGCAGCTTGCTCTTTGGATTTCCACCATTTAAAGGTCCAGTGTGTAACATTTAGGAGGATCTGCTGGCGGAAATGGAATATAATAGATAGAGGCATTGGAATATGCATACACACGGAAAGGGGAGGGTGAAGCGAGGGAGTTGCAGTCTGCAACCACACCACTAGATGCCACTAAATTCTTCACACTGGTCCTTTAACAAGACAAAGAAATCTGCAGCCATACTAGGAAAATGCTAAAATGATGGTATAATGTTTCCAGTCTTACTGTAGTTTAGTGTGCTAGGATGCTAAGTGCTGCTAAGGATGATGGGAGGATATTGATTTTGCAGGTGTGAGTTGAAATCGATCTCCAGAGGTGTTGCAGTTCATCCAGAGGGGGACATATTGGTTGTGATATTTCACTATGGAGATCACTAAAGTAACAAGGATTCATCCTCTGGGAACCAGGAATGTTTAAAATCTATTTCCAATAGTTGTTTAGATATTTCCTTATAGTCACGCTGCATGACTAAAAGAGCCTCTATACTGGGCTCTAGGCGGACAGAGAGCGTAGGTTACAGAAAGGTCAACCATACAGACACACCCTGCTGCTGTGTATAAGGAGAAGGTTACTCTTAAACCCACAGCGAAACAGCAGTTCAAAGATAAACAGGAAACCCACATCATCAAGTCCCCCACATCCTCAAATGATAGCATCAAAGCCTGGAAGAGGTGGTGCGAGTGTTGAACGAGTTAATTATTCAACCAACTTGTGCTCGAGCCGGCTCTTCTTTATTCCTCCCCCCCCTAAATCAAATCTTTAACCCTCAGGTGACAGCGGCAGGAAGTGTGTGCAGAAAGGCCGCCAGTGGCTGCGACCTGCCGGAGTACTGCACCGGCGTGTCGGAGGATTGTCCCGAAGACAGCTTCGAGATGAACGGCAAACCGTGCTACAACCAGGCGCAGGGCTACTGCTACAACGGCCGCTGCCCCACACATGAGCAGCAGTGCTGGAGGCTGTTTGGACCAGGTACGCTCAGCACTCTGCTGTCAGTGTGGTCACTGGAGAGAAAGCAAGACACAAGACAGTGACTGTGTGCGCCAGGGCTTTTATTTTCTTTTCAACAGACAAGCTGAGCCTCGAGGAGCTTTGGTTTTTAGTCTATTTCGAGTAGCTTCAGTAAATTTCAGTGTCACATGGTGGAAATGGCTCTTTCTAAGAATAATTGCCACATTTGATGGTGTGCATTTTCATTATAAGGGACTACAGAGAGTTTAATGAATAGCACTTTCACAGGAAATAGGAGTCTCTGTGTATTTAAAAATCAACATTAATCTCTAGCGTGTCCAATTTTAATGATATCCTAACATCATCCCATGTGCCTGAACATCCAGTTTCCCCCTTTCTAAGTAGATTTAATGTTGTGTAAGTGTTCAGAGAACCAGTGCAGCCCTGAATTCATTCACAATCTCAAAGTTATGACTTAATATCACATATATTCAACTGATCTGGACAGTCAGTGTTGACTTATTATCTCAGTATTTTTATTTGTATCATTCTTTGGGTTTTCTCTTTGCTTCTATATTAACTTTGTCATTACAAACTTACTCTGTGCAGCCGAAAATAGTTAAAAACCCACAAAACTTCATTTTAGATTCTATTTCTATAATTCTGTGATATTCAATTTTGATTAAGAAGTCATACCAAACTTGTTTTCCCCTCTCCCACACTGAAAAACAGCCCTTTTGGAAACAAGCCACACATTCTTAAATATAATCAAATTTTCTGGTATTGAGCAAAAAAATCTGCCAGTGGGGTAAAACAATTTAGCTTGGCTAGAATTCCTAAAACTAGCAAAACAATCAGCTACTGAAAAACCATAAAAGGCCTTAAAACCAGAAAAAATGCAAGAAATGTAAGCAAGTTGTGTTTATTACAAGCAATGAAAACTCAGTTATTTAAGATTCTTAAAATAAGTATTTTGTTCACTTTGTTGGGCTGAATTTAAGAATCTAAAAATCTTACAATATGACTTCTTTAAACAAAATTAAAATCTGTGACTTTATTCTGAATTAAAGCACCAGAAACATTCTTATTTTTAACATTTCTTGTGAAACAATGAAAAACTAAACAGCTGCTTAATTTCCAACACTGGGACCAGACGACTTTCTCTTAAACTGAGAAGTTGTGCAAGTGCTCTTACTCTGAAAATACGGAAGATAATCTTGTTTCTCTGCTGGGGTATTGTGCAACCATTGTTGTTCTGTTAAATATAGCTCAATATTAGCTGTAATATCTTACCAGATTACTTTTATGATGCAAAAAATGCTTGAGAAGATTATTTTTCTCTTTAGACAAAAAATAAGACTCATTTGTAGAAACAAGACTTTTTAACTTTCTTAAGATTCCTTTTATTGCAGTGTGGTATAAATGGGTTTAAGAGAATGAATCTCTTCCTTCCTCAGGGACCAGAGTTGGATCAGACGTGTGCTTTAACCTGAACAAACGGGGGGAAAAAGGTGCAAACTGTGGGAAGACGCAGTCCAACTACGCCCCCTGTACTGAATCGTACGTATCAACGGCATTTACACATTTACACAGAACTTCCTGTTGAAGGCCTCACTGGGTTTCTATCCAAAGTTTATCACAAAATACTCCCAAAGGAGACCTGGAACACAGCATGCTCCAGTTCCAGGACTGAAAAGTAGCAAAAACTATGAAAAAAACACATGAAAGTTTATATGTTTGAGGTCAGTTTTGTGCTATTTTGTTAATGTAGCTGAACAATTCCATCCATCCATCCATTTTCTTCCACTTATCCGGGGCCGGGTTGTGGGGGCACACTGTGGTGCAGGCCACAACCAGATGAGATAATAATCCCTCCATCGTGTTCTGGGTCTGTCCCAGTCTGATGCTTCAGACCACAGGGCCAACCAAGCCCAACAAATTCTTCATTCATTTGTTGATTTTCCTTTTCTTTGCAGAAATCTTAAGTGTGGATCGATATTTTGTGGAGGAGGGGGCGAGTCCATCACAGGTAAAAGGGCATCCTACACTGTGTACGGCATAGAATGCAAACTGGCTGAGGATGACGACAAGACCAGAAACATGGACATGGTGCCAAAAGGAACCAAATGTGGACCAAATAAGGTAAAACTGTCAGCGGGGAAGAGACATTACGTGGAGTTTTGGTAGCCATGTCGGACGTTCTGCTCAGATTCAAACGTTTGCCCACAGGTTTGCTTCGACAACAGATGTGTGGATTTATCGGTTTATGGGAAAACGGAGGATTGTGCAAAGAAATGCAACAACAACGGGGTGAGTGAGTTATTTTAGGACATGAAATCATTTGTAGCTGTTTTCAGTTGGACTCTTGGGGAGCCGAAACTGCACGTCCGAGTGCTTGACTCATGTCTAAATTCACTGTATTGCATTTTATCTTCAGGTGTGTAATCACAAGAACGAGTGCCACTGTAATCCTGGCTGGGCTCCACCCTATTGTGACATCCAGTATGCAGATTTACCTCAAGGTACTAAACACTTTACTGGAACTAACTTTATGACCTTATCTAAATTGCTAATACAAAATATGATCTATTTATATGAGTTTAACCTGAAGTCCGGATCTGAGCGAGCGGTGCAGATAAAAACAGCTCACACCTGCTTGTTGAATCATTCTTCCAGTAAAAAACATGAATCATTCATTATGACTGATCTCCTGTTTCCAGCACTGACCGAATCGAGTGTTCCTGATATAAAATGAGAGTTTGCATCTTTATTGAAGTTAGGCTGCATCATCTTACAAAACAGAGGCACACATGTGGTATCTCTTATCTGGAGCTGCCACAGTAGAAAGTTTTAAAGAGTGGGCCAAGTGATTATGCAACGGTTCAGATCTCACGGTGAGCAGCTGAAAACAGAAATAAAGGAGGAAGAAGAGACACAGGCCAGTATTGTGAAATGTCTCAGCACAGGCCGTACGGCGTTCCTTCCTCTCCAAAACAAGTCGAAAAACTTGTGAAACCGATGTTTTCCGTACGCTGCTTGGTTGTGCATACTCCCCAAATTATGGTGAAATGATAATAACAAAAATAATCTTCTTGTATTTGTCATCCTTTGTTGAGGCTTTGTATAATTTTTGCCTCCTCAATGTTTGTCATGTTGCTGCCGCCATGACAAACAGAAAACGCTCGCTGCCTCATTATAACGACCTTCCTGTTTAAACGAGCTCCTTTTTACATTATAACTGTATTTTTCACATTATCACCACAAAAGAAACAGTACCTGAATCTGTATCGCACAAAATCATAAAAAAACAAGAAGCTCTTCTCATTGTGGTGAGCTGATGTTATGGTAAAGAAAAGTCCGAGCATAAAGAGACACTGTAGCCCAGAAGGAAGTTTCTAATTTAACGAGAAACTTTCTTTGTCATGGTGGCAGCCGTACACTGAGCTACTTGTTGAGATATTTCCGTCTCAGGCATTTCCATCCCTCGAGCCCCTTACAATAAGCAAAGGCTGAAAAAAACCTGCTCATAATTTATATTTAATATATTTAGTATACATTTAATGTGCTATACATTGTGTATTAAGGATTATAATAACTACATTACGATGTGCAGCAGTGTAATTTCCCCATCTACGCCTGCAGGTCAGAATGGGATAATAGCTGGTGTGTGTGCGGTTCTCTCCATCCTCCTGGTGATCACTGTAGTGATCGCGAGCCTGATGTGCTGTAAAAAGGACAACATGGACAACTACACGTCCAAAAGGTACTTGAGTGCATTCTCTCACATCTACTATGCAGCTCTGTCCAGTGTCTGTCGTCTGTCTTCCATTTCCCAGCTGAATAAATGTCGTGTTCGCAGGAAAGTGCACTCAGCTCCAGACAGGCTGAACCCGATGTTCCAGGAGCCGAATGGTAAAGACAGACCTCAGATCAGTCAGCCCACTTTCATGGAATCAACAGCGGCGCAAGCCTGCGCTCCTCTGATTGTTACTGTGACTCCCAGCCGACCCGCTCCACAGGTACACAGGGCCGGAGGAGTTAGTCATGTCAGGGATCAATTAGTTCATCGTGTGTGGGCAGGCTCAAGTGTTTTACAGCAGTACTCTCATACTTATTATGTGCTTCTTTTTTTCTTTTTCCAGCCACCAAAGAAATTGTCTTCAGTGGCGTCTACCTCACAGACTGAGCCGGTAAGCTTTAGACAAAAACATCTAATACATAATGCAAACAGAGGATCGCATCCAGGGTTGGTAACTTAAGTTGGCTGCTAAAGTTCAGAAGTTAAATTAAATAATGCATGCAGAGTTATCTGTATTCAGACGTGGTGTGAAGCTCCGTAAAGGACAAGGTGGCTGTATTTCCATCTTTTTCCTTCTGTTGATGAATCACCTGAAAAGACCAACACTGTTAGTCCGTCTCTCAATACTTTCTGACTTCCCCACCCTGTCTGTAACATTTAAAATCACATCACATATATGAATATTTTTAATAGTTCTTGGACAGCAGTTAAGCTCTATGGCACACAGGAAGGCTTTGGATACACAACACTTGTTACAAGGATTAATCCATTGTTGGTTTTTATGGGATTTGTTGACAACAAGAAAAATATAACTTTATAACTCCCTGTCCCAGCGGCACACTAAGCTTTATTTGGTTTGGATCAGTGTGCAGTTAACTCTGAATACAAAGCTGAGTAAATAACACTTTTCACACTTCACACAGGAATAAAATCATTCTCAGAGCCTTTTTAGCCTCAGGCCCAAAAAAACTCTTCCAAAGTGGGTTAACCCCGACTTTAAGCCTAGAGCTGGATGGCCCTGCGCTGGAGCAGAGTTAGCCCTGAGTTTGTGGAAGTATCTTCTGAAAATGGACTAAAAACTGGGGTAAAGTAAAGAGAATGTAAAAATAAATGTAAAAGATAAGTCACGTGTTCCAGCGGACATTTAACCCACGGCTGGTAGGAGTGCAGCGTGAAAACAAGGCTACGTTATCCCAGGGTCTACTCTAAGCTTAAGGCCAAAGTGTGAAAATGTGAACAGTATGTGAGTCTCGCATACATGTAGTTACATTAAAGTTAAAAATTAGCAACATTTGTGGACAAAGTCGGTGCCAGTACCCTAATTCAGCACAACCCTAAACACATCATAACCCTCATTGTTTGGCCATTCTTTATCCTTTTTAACGAGGACGTTTTCAGCTGTATGCAGGGTTTTCGAAACACAGCGGCCTGAACTTGCACACAGGGTTTGGGGGCGTCAAAGTGTCAAACTAGTTATTTTTAGACAATTATTTAACAACCTTTATTGTATATACCGCTTACTTGAAGTAAGGGTACTCATGCGGACAAAAGTGTGCCGGTACTCAGTACTGGTGAGTGTTCGTTCATTTCAGGGACTGGACAGAGTCATTGAACTTTACGACAATCAGAATAAATGAACAACATTTGTCAGAGAGAAAACTTTGACTGAAACACGACAGGAAAAGTGAAAACACAGAAGTCTTACTGACTTTCTTTTTTCTCTTTTACCACAGATGAAACCTCAACCTCCAGTTAAACCTTTACCACCTCTGAATAAAACACAGGTGAGTCACACCTGCAGCTGTTCACTGCAGACGATTTCAGCTGCTTTAATAAGTGTAGACGTTGGTCACAACAACACTCTGAGCTGAAGGAGTCGTACAGTTAATAAAGACATTTAATCCAGTTATCTAGAAGCATAAAAGACACAATATGTTTCTTGATCTCTTTCCTTTGTTTTATTTATTCCTTTTGCAGCTTTATATACACAGTATGTAGTAAATGTATCTCCAGTATCATATCATAGTCTTAAGATAAATATTTTTTCATTCAGTTAAGTTTATTTGTCTGATATAATGTGACAATTTTCAGCCATTTTTTTCATCACACTGCCTCGAGCGTTCATCCTGTGCCAGATAACACATTTGAATTAAAGTTTTGACCTCGAGTTGGTCGTCACAGCCAGATATCTCTATATTCTCCAAATAGTTTTGTATTCTATGTTTGTTGTCTTTAATCTTATAGTTGTCTCTTATGTGGGGATATCTGGGGTAATCTAACATAATAAGGCGTTCAAAAGGTGTTTCAAAGCCATTACATAAAAGAAAAAATATTTAACCTTGCATGCAAGAAGACTAAAATAGATGGCATGGGATGCAAAGTTTACTGCACCCTAAGGGCTACCTAGGTCCATTTATTCATCCATTTTAAATACTTCTTTATCCGTTTCCTGCCTCTTTAACTTTGTGCTGCTACAACATGTGAGTTTCCCCTCCGGGGATCATTAAAAGTCTTATCTTAAAGTTGCAGCCCATTTTCTGTCATGGGTTAGACTGCTTTTCTATTTTTTGGGACCAAACATTAAAAACACTGTACTCACACCTCCACAAGTTGCAGCTTCGCATTTATAAATGTGTCTAAAATTCGTCTTGTTTTGCTTTTCAGTATAAAGCAGCCAGTCCGAGTGTTCCTCCTGTACCTCCAGTCAAGCCCAGCCCTCCTCCGGCTGCCAGAATCAAACCGTGCGCTCCTCCTCCACTGCCCCCAGCGAAGCCACATGTTCACAGACTCGCATGAAATTCTCAATAAAAGGTTCGACTAAAGAAGAGGACATTCAGCTACATATAGAAAGAGAGCGATTCTGTGTGAGTCACAAAGGCCAAAGAGTGTGGAAAAGTTTACTCTTTGTTCTTAAAAGCCTGCAAGGATGACCGAGGCTTCACCGACTGAGAATGTCTTTGATTTGAGACCAACAGCTTCACAACTGCTGTGGAAAACTCTCCATTAACTGCTGCTGCAGTTGTCATTGTGTTTGTAAAAGGTTCTTTCTGCTAACTTCCTTTGTAACGTTACTGTAAGTTGTCTCATTGCACTTTTATAAGTGTGAGCAAAATGCTGCTCACATGAAAATTTACTTTTTAAGATATTTATTTAATGTTTGTGCAAGGGACTGTACGGAAATTATTACATGGGGAAAGAGGATTGGGATGGGTGGGGTTTTCCTTTTTGTTGAAGGAAGGGTAGATATATATTTTATATTCTATAGGTAGTTAACTGTGGGGGTTTTAAAGCTTTTTCAACAGCTGCCTGCTGCGTAGGGTTGAGTATCCATACCAGTACCAATACCCGTACCCTTAGAGTGATGCTGATACCAATAAGACAGGGTGTCCAAGGGTTTTAAAGAGTCTAAAATCCAATAATTTGAATAATTTAGGATTTAAAATGTCTTGAACATGATTTTGACAGGACTTACAAATTGCTTGGATTAATGGAGTTAACGTTATTTGTATAAACTTTCTGTTTTTTTGGAAAAATTTGTATTGATCGCGCTGTAACGACAAAACAAAAATTTCTCATTATAGTTTTTTTGTCAGTACGGATGTAAAATAAGTCTTGAAAAGCCTTAAATTTAACTTAATGTGGTTGTCTTTTCAACATAGACAAGTCTAGCACATTTTGAAAAGATGGTTCTAAGATAAAAGCAACATATATATACGGCAATATTTTAATTTAGCTAGCTAATGTTAGCAAAACAACCAGCTAACTAATTGTTGATGTAACTAGCTAACAATTAGCATAAATTAGCTAGCTAGTTAGCCAGCATTTTTATAACATTATAGCTTTTATCTTTTAACCATCTTAAAATTGTTTTCAACATAGACGAGGCTAGCACAACTGTTATTGGAGCACACCAAAAAGGGGCGGGGCTTAGGAGGGGTCAGTTCTCTGCAGGTTCATCAGGAGACCCCTTTCACAGTTTGATACCTTGTGATTATAAAAGTATTGATTATAGCCGCTTTAACTTTTTATTATAGGTGTATGATAGCATTACAGACATTATGGGGGCGGGTGCAGCAGGTTTATCTGCACCGACGGGAGGGTCCATTGGTCTCAGCTGCCCTCGCCTCACCAATAATTTTTGTACAGTCCCTAAACTGTCTAAAGCCAGTCTGTGCCTTCTACTACCAGGTCACTTTGCACTATACTTGAAACCCTACGAATGGTACACGCAGTACGGGAGGCTTTGCACCGTTCAGATGACCTGTGTGTCTTTCTGTGGTTGAAACATTTACACTCTCCTTTGTTTGATTTCAGTCCTGAGGGGGCTTTTTTTTTAATGCACTGTTAAGTTTCCAGGGCAACAGTCTCATCGTTTTTATACCTTGTGGTATGTTAAATTGTAAATTAATGGCAAATCGCTGCTAGTACAAGTTGACATGATCACAGTCCTACCTTTCAATTGGTCACATCAGATGTAAAAAATCCTTAAGAGGGCCTTTTGTTGCAGCAAACAAAGAGAAAAGTATGATGAGATGATTGTGTTGCATCAGCAGATTAAACAAACCGCAAGACTTGACAGAGGACTTCTTATCCGCTGTGTTTTACTTAGCGCTTCATTATGTGAATTGCATAATGATTAAAAGATGAATTTTTCTCTAAGAAGTTCGTTGTGTCTCTTTCTCTGTGCTGTTTTTGTTTTATCTTGTGTAACATTTTTTATTAACCCCCCAATAAGTCTTCCCATTGTTCTTCCCAGCAAACAGTGTGCACATCAGTTAACAGTTAATCCATATTTATTGGCCTCCAGTGACAAGCTCAAGGAAATGGGCTGGAAGCTGTGCAGCCGGGCTCCCAGTGTGAGCTCCCATTATCTGGGTTTCCTGCTCAGACTTCTCAAACAATCGGATGCAAAAGGCTGATGGGTTGTTTTGTTTGTGGTTTAACACACAGAGCCAGAGTTTTTCATGGGAAACAAACTCAGAACTGTATGAAATGAATCAGCAATAAGGACCCAATCACCAATGGTGATATTTCCTCTAGCGCCATCATGAGGTTCAAGTTTGTTGTTTAATGTAAAATGTCTTGCACCACTGTGCTTTGTTTAGCAGGTATCTTGGTTTTAGCCTCTTTTAGCTCATTGTTTTGGTTTTAAGTCCCACAACTTTACAGTTTTGATTCACTCTCATCACTTATATCCAGCAGCAGGCAGCTGGTTTCAGAGAAAACACCACCTGCTGTACACCAAACAGCAGATACACAAAGTGAGCAACGAGCTGGTGAACATAGTGGAGCATTTAGCAGCTAAAGAGACAGTTGTGTTTCTTTGGAGGTGGTGGAGACCAAAAACAGAACTGTAAGAGAGGGAATATTGGCCCTTACTGGACAGAAATGTGACTCAGTTTGCTCAGTAAGTGCTGGGTGGGGAAGTAAGCAGCTGTTTTAACACGTTAGCCACATCGACTTTATAAGTGCTGCGTTAACCGCTTGTTAAAGGTGAATAAGGTCAGGGTGGATCTAGATGTGTGGTTTAATGTCAAATGCTGTCAAATTTAACATAATAATTTAGATTTATTTAAAAAATAACACGTTAGAAATGGGCACAACTGGAATATATGTTTTCATTAGTGTATAATCACCTGGAAATAACAATAGTTGTGTTTTTGTTACCTTAGAATGAGACGTTTTATCCCACATGTCGAACCCTTATATATACTGTCAATGGTTTCTACAGTAGCCCATAACGGACAAACCAAACACTGGCTCTAGATAGCGTTGTAGTTTCTCTGTTCTAAACCACTAGAAGCCACTAAATCCTACACACTGGACCTTTAATGATCTGTTATGGCTGAATTTATGACTAAGTAATAGGCTTTATATATATAGACTTCTATTTAAAAAACATGTTAGTTCAAATATCTAAATTTGGGGTTTTTTTTCCCAGGCAAATACATGTGTGAATACATGTGCAATTAAGCACCCCTTAAAGTCTCCATGCCCCCCTCTGGCCACCCCAGAGAGATAGATCCGCCCCTGGACAAGGTCTGGCTCACAGTCCAGTTCATCCTAAAGGCGTTGGACGGGGGATGAGGTCAGGACTCTCTGCTTTGTCATTGTCATATTGAAACAGGAAAGAGAAAAACTGTTGACACAAAGTTCTCTTCTGTAGAAGTAAGATGATACTTGCAGGAAACTTTAGCAGAAGTTTGGAAAGACTTAATTTCTCTGTAAGGACTGAAAAAAAACACGAATCCACCCACGAATTTCACAAATATTTAAATGTCTGATGTGGAAATTTAACCATAAATGGCTCAAAAAGAAATAAAAAAATCTGATTGGAGGCAGTGGTGTAAATCAGCGCTCTCAGACTGGGGAGAGCTGAGCGTTGAGGAATGCAGGCCTGAGCGATGGGGCTCTGATTCACTCTGATTCACGAGCCAAGAAGCCTGTAAAATAACACAGTTAACAATGAGTGCGGCTTGTTCTACAGCAAACTTTTGTCTCTGCCTGTCTCCCGCTTAGATCAGTGGTTTATTGGGCTCAGATCTGCAGGAGATGGTCCTGGGGGGGGCGTTCAGTCAAACGTGCAACCACCTGTGTTTGTTCTCAGACTTTCCAACCGCACAGACTTCAGACTGCGGTCTGTTAATGTTTAATGTTCTCTTCTCTTGCTCATTTGCAATCCATGTTTCAAGGTTTCTATGACTGTGCCTCAGACTCAGATGTTTAAACTCCCAAAACAACAGAATATAACCGTGGCAGCTTATCGGTTCTGAATATTTCTGCTGTAGGACAGAGAGACTTATCCGTCACCAAATCATGACACACGTGGTGAAACAGACGTAAAGGCGGACTGACACTGAGTCCTCAACTGAACCATAAAAAAACCTAAAACACCGGTCATGAGAAGGAAGGAAGAAGTGATCGAGATAATCTGCAGCTCAGTGACTCACAGTTAATCACAGTTTGAAGGCTGAGCAACTCCGGTTGAGTCAAATTACCTCGATTGTTTCTCCTTTTTGTTTTCTTTTTTTTTTTTACCAGGACGAACTGTAACTGTACTTTTCCAACAGTGTCCTCGAATGTGTCACAAATAATGACCTGAAATAGGTCAGAGGACAGAGCAAGTGTGTGATCACAGCTGTTGCTTAAAACACGATGAAACGTTCAAAGAGGAAGAGGATGTTTTAATTTGTCGGCTTTTCACAATATATAACACAATGGAGTTTTTTCACAGCAGCTATTCTGACATGAGATAGTCGGGTAAACACCAATGACGCTATTTAACAGGTGAAAGAAATAGTTTTACACAAATATCTCCACTTTCTACGCGGTACATTTTAAAAACAGGCTTGTTACTTTAGTTTTAATGCATTTAAGGGGAATTATTCTTTATTAAGACCGGTGTATATCACGCACAGCCGACGTAACATGAACAAACAAGAGAGACTCCATCCTGTTTCAGTTCATTTCAGTTAGTTTTGGACAGAAACAGTCGGTAAAAATCACCTTCAGAGAAACCAAGAGAGTGCTTTTATACTTTGAATCAGTAATACCAGCGTCTTTTTTTGAGTATCTGTATTTCTACTTTTGCCACCGCTGTTAATTAAGGTTCTGTTGCATTGAGTCCGAGTGCTGTTATTTTGAATGTTTGCTCACTGGGAAGGTAAACTACAACTAAACTGGGTGAAACCTTAATTAGTATTATTGGTAACAGCTGGGTTTACCCTACTATTTCATATTAAAAATGGCTGCTGTGAAAAATGCCTAAAACTAAAACATTTCCTGTGTATTTTAATTTTAGTAAGTCTAGTTCTGTTTTTAGTTCTTGTTTAATTAACAATAATAAAATTTCATTGAAATTCATCTAGTAAGATTATATAGTCACATTTTAAATGAGCTAATGTCAGCAACAACACTCTAGATAATGTTTGATGTAGATTAGCTGGTTGAAAAACATCCAGTATAGGTTAGGCTCTACCTTTTACTGTTTCCTGTTTCAGTTTGTTTTTATTCGTCTTATTTTAAGCTGCCAGTGGTAGAAAGTAACTAAGTACATTAACTCAAGCGCTGTCCATTTTAAGCTTTAACGTGAACTGAAAGCAGAAACATCAACATCATGCCAAAGTCATTTTTATTTAATTACCAGGCAAACATTTGATCTTCATACAAGGACATTTCCAAAAATTAAACATTCAGAGACGAGTTTAAACCGTCAGATGGAAACACATGGAAAGGAAATCAAGTTACTTAAATACAAAAAAAAAAAAATCTTTTTCCATTGCACCTTAACTTCATAAATACAAGTCAGAAGGTTAATTTCTCTCTGGCTACCACCCGACAGTACGACTGCAAAACATTCAACCATTTCCTTTACTGCTTACTGAAGACGCCGACTGTGCTACGATGTTTTATGGAAACCAGTCGGGGTCACGCCTCCATGTATGACGCCACGTTCATGTCATAGCTGATGGACGATAAAGTCTCGTGTTTCTGGCTGGAGATGAAAGGAATAATTGATTCTTTGATTATAAGGCTGTCAACTGTTTTATTAACTAGTTGTTTCAGTGATTTTTCAAACAAAAAGGACAAATATTCTTTACAGCCTCTCAAATGCAACGATTTGCTGCTTTCTTCTGTTTTATATAACTTTAAATTGTGTATCTTGTGTCGTCTGAAACCTAAACATATTCAAGTTCATAGAAAACAAAGAAAAGCAGCAACTCTTCACACCCATCACTGGGTCTGTTTGTTTCAGTAATTTCTCCCTACTGGCAGAAATAATATATTTTCTATGTATTTAGCAGTTCACAATGTGCACTAGATTTGCATCGAAAGTTTATCACTGACTGGTTTTAACTCTATATGACATGAACGCAGCATAAAACCATCCAGTGAAACATTATGTGCACATAAATGAGACAAAAAAAAAACCCATTGTATGTTGTAGACAATTAAAGAGATGTACATTATAGACATTGTATTAACATAATGTGACATACGACTTCTGCCAATGATATATAACATTATTAAAAACAAAAAAAGAGACTTAAATCATAACATTTACACAGAATATAAACCCCAGACTGTGAATAGTAAAACATATCAAATTGATTATGCGTGATAATAACAGTTTATGTCTTGTGACTGTAAATCTTGCGACAGTTTTGGCAGCCTGAATCAAAAACTCTACAGAGAGGATACATGGGAGTATCAAAGTGCTGTTTGCTTGATTGTAATTTCCTCCACGAGCCCACCGCCCACCGCCCACCGCCCACCTCCCACCGCCACCCCCGGCCACTTCCTGTGTTTTCCTTGTATGTCACAAGTTTGAACTAGTTCCCATGTTCCTGTCCAATACTCTCCCATGTGATGAATCCACCTCAAACCTTCCAAATCTGGTGCTACAGTTTGCTCGATAACAGTAGAAATGATCTGTTTTTGTTTTTTTTATTATGATGAATACGGTGCAGCAAAAAGGAAAACGTGGAGTGACACAGCTTCGTTGTTTTCTCATATAAAACAACAATATTCACTGATCAAACCTTCCACCATGTGAGACGATGGGAGTGGACAGACGCCACTGAGCATGTGTGAACTCCGTCCCCCCACCCCCGGAGAAGATCAGGAGAGAATATCCCGAGTCCATGTACAACTGTACAACGTGTGACGCCACTCTGCTTTACAGTCTGTAGTGTTACTCGGAGCACGGGCGGGGACGGAGGACGCAGGACGCCGCTCACGCATTTCTCTTTTTTAATTTTGTTGTTAAAGTTTCGTATTTCGTCCAGCTCCAGTCTTGGTCCTTGAAAGAGGGAAAACCAACACAGTACGGGAATGAAACAAAAATGTCTTGTGTAAAACAAACGATTTGGATGAATATACAACAGCTGGTCTGTATTATGTATTTTTTTATAATTTCTAACAATCATATGTATTTAATAGGCTTCTTTTTTTAACAGATTCATTATTTTCTCATTGTTCTATCAGCTCTTTGAACTTTAATAAAGCAGGACGAGGCTGTTTATAAGAGAGGGAAGGCTCTGTGAATACAGCTTGTTGTATATCTTAAATAATCTAAACTTTAAAAAGAACAATTTCATTTAGTTTTCTTCACAGAAATGAACAAAACGCTGAGATATCGACCTACTGTGTATATTTTTTAAGTTTTCTTACATCCCTCACAATCAAGAAGGCCTTGTGACTCCTTGTGAAGCTTTGGTGACCCCTGGTGGGGCCATAAAGTATTGTTTAGCTAACACTACAGTTACTGTATGGTTAATTCATTTGTAGTACAAATGATGTGGTAATTGATATGTGCTGTGCGTGTTTATTTGTCATGATTTAAATGAATGAAAAACGATGAATAAGTGATAATTTATCTGCATTCCTAGCTTAAAGTCTTTTCAATATCAGATAGAAAAGTTAATTTATTACGAATATGACAAACAAATGATCAATTCTGTCTGATTTAGTTACATATTTCACTTCCGTCTCAGATTAAAACTCAAAGTTCATTCAGATTAAAGCTCAAAGCTTCTCGAGTCAAACGACTGTTCGGTGAATTCGTTTAAGAATCAAACTAAAACAAGTGAACTCACCACTATGCTTTTGGTCTGTTCGTCCGCAGCCTCCTGCATCAGGCTGGTCAGCTGACTGAGGTACTTCTGGTTCTCCTGCAGCAGACGCGGTGCAGCGTCACTGAAAACAAACAGAGGTCGTTAGGCCAGATTCATCACGAGACCGCCACCATATGTACAATACGTCTAGTATTCTACTGGGGCAGAAAAAGCACTGACCTATGTGTGGCATATTTACACACAAATACATTCACCAACCGCCGAACCCTGACTGAACGCACAATAAAACATCACACAAGCAACAAAAAATGTCACACTTAAACCCTCCCCTGTGCAGCCGACTGTTAAACATATAATAAACTGAGATCATCTGCGTATAATCAGAGTGCAACAATGGGTTTTAGCTTAAATACGTCTGTATCGGGAAGATTTAACAGCCGGTTACAACCAACACCACGCAGTATAATCAATAATTATATAATAGATCACATGACTCAGTGTTTCCTGTGAAATGAGAGGTTCACTGCAGGGGCAATGTTACAGTATTAAACACCATTTTCCATAATTATTTAAAGGAATATAATAGTGAAAAAGAGACATACATTGTGGATGTTGGAAGTACGGACGTTGAGGTTTTATAGAAGCCATCGATTTGTTTAAACTAACCATTAAGACTACAGTTGGTGTAGGACCCAAGTATTTATGGTGAGAAAGAGTAGATTTAGATGTGATAGTCTATTATTTTTAGATTCTTTGTGATGAGACTATTGTACACTAAAACTTTCATTTTAACAAATTAAAGGTTTTCTTATACAGTTTCCAATACAGGACAGCTCCTGCTTACAAACGGTCATATAAGCTGCGGTGATGTTGCTTTGTGTCTGCTGGATGTTTGCTGACTTACTTAAAGCCTGTGTACGCCCACACAGGTGGACCTCTGCTCAGAGCACTGTGGGAATTTATCACAAATCTCCTGTAAGAATGATAAAGGGGTGATTTGTCCCACTCTAATAGGTGCAACAAAGCTGACTCAGGAAGACGTCAATCAGTAACAGGATACACACCCACGCAGTCCTGAGGAGAGGTCTAATCAGACAGGTTAACTGGAAACACCTGTGTGGGAGCTCAGAGGAGTGATCAAATGTTTCTTTTGCCCCCTAGTGGCAAAAAAAAAACAAACCTCAGGGTTCCTTTGCAACCAGAGCTACAGATACAAAGTCGCCTAATACAGATCCATCCACAGACTCAATGTTTGTGCTGCCTAAAGTGCTCCAACTAAATATTTACAAGAAGGGGCTGATCCTTTATGCAATCACTTATTTTATGGGGTTCTTTGTTTATCCTGAGATCAGTTTGTAGAGATCTGTTTTTACACAAGCGGGTGAATACAGGCATCGACAGGACAATCATACGTCACATGAACACACTCTGATCTGTCAGTTACCTGTCATTGGGCCCAGGTAGGGAGGTTAGGGGGTGAGGGGAGCTGACAGGTTGTGCCGACTGCGACCACTGAGAAACCTGCAGCAGGTTGGACGACTCCGGACTCGCTGCTATCGAGTTCCTTGACATGTTTTGGGCCTGCAGGAGAAAGAGAGAGAGAGAGAGAGAGACAAAGAGAGAGAGAGAGAGAGATCTTACTGTCACATGCAGCAATAATAAACATGTTGGGTTGCTCCTACAAAAGGAATGCAGGCTGCACATCCTCCTGCTGTCTGTGTTTTTGTTCATTTAGAGGAGTAAAGTCTGAGGAGGTAACAGTGGACAGAAATATTACCCACGTTGTAGCCTCAATTGTGAGGATTTTAACGCTGAATTTAAACCAAACGATTAATGAGTTCATCAAGAACATAATCTGTAGAGAAGCTGATAATGAAAATAATCATTAGTTTCAGCTCTACAGTGCAACGTGGTTTTATTAAATTACAGCAGATTACTCTGAATATCAAACCAAAGCTGATAAGGATCTCAGTGATATCATATGTCCCATAAAATGTGTGATTCCTGAGCGTTGACACACATAAAACACATCGTTTTACGTCATACTTTGTATTCCAAAAAACTGACAATGTAGACTCATATTTATTGTCCCAGAGGAGGATTTGTTTTCACAGCCAGCATAAATAAACACTTACACAGGCGATCTTCAGTAAATGCCAGAACTCTCTTTGTCTCTTTATCTGCATCTGCATCACTGTGTTGTCTGCATCCTTGATACTCTCCAAAGTTTTCTCAATTCGTGGAAACAAGTCAATGATCTTCTGTTTGCTGATCAGGATCTTACTGTTGGGAGGAGCACAGGCAGGGCAGATGTTAAAGATTTTATATAGGACATCTAAAACATGAATATAGCAGCAAACAACTATTTGCTAAAGCTATGGAAAGATACGGTCACTCTGTGAGTCTGGTCCGTGTGCAGCAGAGTAGAGCGACTGGAACTCTTTTTCTCATCTACATTGGTGAATTAAGGATTTATTTCAACCAAACCAGGTTAACAAAGACCGTTTTGTTGAGTTTTTATTACGCTTCTGTCCACTATATCTATCTGTCTATCTCTATTCCATAATGCTGTCAGACTGCCGGTCAGTGGTACCTCGACGGGCACATTTGTCCTCAAGCATTAACATTAGCTTACCCTGCAGCCATTTTCATGAATATTTCTGCATCTAACTCTGTCATTTAAGGATTTATTACAATTGTTATAGACCAACAAAGACGTTTCAGTGACTTTTCTTTTATTTCTGTCCCACTGTTTTGGTCTGAGATGCTGGTGGCTCTAGTACGACATCCAGTGGCAAGTAAAACGTTCATATATAACCTTTAACATACAGTATTATTGTATTACTGGCTCTTTGATTATTTGGAGAAGGTAGAATAAGTGTCTTCGAGGGGTGTTGGACTCTCACCTGAGGTGGGTGTACAGATCCTTGAGGACCTTGTCTTGGTTCTGGACCGTCTGAATGATGGCCTTCACCATCTCGGAGCTGTCACTGCTCACATCTACGTCAGGAGCTGAGAGATGAGCATCAGATAAACTACTGAACACACATTTCAGTTTAAACTAAAGAATTCACTGGATAAGTAATTACACTGTGAGAACATAAGAGTTTGAATGACAGTAATTTAAAATGTTTCTTACTTTTGCATTTCATCTTCAGCTGCTTGTAGAGCTCAATCGCTTTTTCCTCTCTGCAATATGAATTAATGACATTTAAACATTTACCAGACTGAATTCTAATCAGCACATACAATAAAACATTTAGAGTGAAAGCTGTTTATTGTGTGGTCTTTCAAACAGCAGATTATTGTCAGAAGCAGCATGTTTACAATATTGTTGACCCTGAGTTTGTCTGTCTGCCCCACGAGTCTCTGGCTCTGCAGCAGCACAGAGGACGGTTTGTCTGCTTTTTAAACAACAAATCGAATCCAGCGGCAGGTGGTGAGCGGACAGCTGATCATCACAATGAAGTAGACACCCGCACTGTGCTACTTATTGTTGACTCACTGTGTCGTCCCAGTCATCTGGAATCGGCCAATTCTTTCTTAAATTAGGGCTAAAACTCAGTTTTAAAGGTCACAATGACCTTTGACCTTCGAGTGAAAAGTGTTGCAGATTCAGAGCCACAATCTCCTCTTCTCTTTCTGAGTGAGAGAGCTGAATATTGGCCACAGGACATATGATCGCAGTGAACCTGACCTTTTGCAGAACAAACTCACTTCACTGTTGTATCCCATTAAACATCTGTCTGAAATTGTACCATAATCCAGTCACAAGTGTCACCAATTGAATATTTAATTCATTCCAGCCAATTGTGACATATAGTAATCAATTCTTAAGTTATGGCTAAAAATGTGTTTTGTAATGTCCTTGACTTTGAACCACCAAATCTAAGTTGGTTCATCCAAAGTCCAAATGCACGTTTGTGTATTAAAATGAGAAGAAATTCCCTCAAAGCGTTCCTGAGCTATCACGTTGGGAAGAATGGGAGACAAAAACATAATCCCTCTGGCCATAAAGGCATAAAGAAGTATGAGAAAGCAGAACGACTGCTCTGGAAATGTCTGCACATCAGATTGAATACTGTCAGTTTCCACAAAGTTCTTGCGCACTATAAACTCCTTTAACAGATAAGCAGGATCCAAAACTGTTCACTAGTGGTCTAAAGCTGGATTTCACATCATCTTATCATCACATTTATCTTTTTTAAAATCAACAAAACATGGCAGAAAGACAATTGTTTATAAGTATGTAGAGGACGTATTGTCAGGTCAGACCGCATTAACACTCACAGCTGCTCCATTTTGTCTCCTTGGCGTCGAGCGTACGGGCTCCTCTGAAGTTCCACTATCTCAGAGTGCAGAGCCATGATCTCATCGTCCAAGTGGCTCACCTCTGCCACCTGCAGGACAAACCAGGACAATGCCACTGTGATGATTTGCACTGAGACACATTACAGGCCATTAAAAATGTTTAAAACCTGCATCACCTGTGCAAACGCAGCAGCTCTTTCCTCGTTCTCCTGCCACGCTTTCAGCATCTTTTCAGAGGCTTTGGACGAACACAACCAGCTCATCAAACCAAACAACATCTTGCTCAGTGCTATAAAAACATTCCCATATGTAAATGTTCCCCATTATCACAGCAAACAGCTGCCAGTAAACACTCACATATGCCGTAGTGCATCTGATCGCTGTATTTTTCCAGGTCGTACTGGATGCTGCTCTTGAAGAAGTCCAGCTTGGCCTTCAGCTGCTGAGAGAAGCCAAACATGCTGTTCTTACACCTGGTCAGGTTGGTGTTGTAGCGCAGGAGACTCAACCTGGAAGGACACAATTAAGTGTTAGAAAGGTTTGGAAGGAAGGAAAAGCTCCAGTGCACCAGCAAGTAAATACCAGTATCTGCAGGTGTGAGGGGACGTTGGGAAGCAGCTGGTGACTCTGTGTGTATCAGACACATGGCTAACAAGCTTACAGTGGGAGTTAGCAGGGACAAGAACCACAGTGTGAGGGGAAAAGACCATTTAAAGTAGTCCACAGAGGAAAAGTCTCCTACAGGATTAAATTAGCTGATAAAGTGCCTCGGATGGATTAGACAGGCGGTATGTAAAATAAAAAGGGGTTTACTGGAAATAAAATACAACTGACAAGTCAATGATTACACCAAATAGTCAATCAAAAGTTTGAAATGTTGTCACAGTTGTACAGGAGTTGTCTGGAAGGATTTCTGTAGGGTTAACAGAGTTGAACAAAAACCTTTTTAAAACCTCAAAGAACACAATTTAATAACCATTTCACAATCACACTGGATAACGTATGATGGAAAACCAGTACGGCCTAAATTATTATACAAGCTTTCTGCAGTATAGAACCATTTTTCCTAATGATGTTATATATAACATTAACACAACATTGACTAACTGAAAGTGATTGATTCAATTGAGTTTTTTGATGAAATAAATACTTCAATATGAGCTGTAGCTGCCTTTACATCAACTAAATGTTTGTTTACAACAGTAACCCTTGTAAACAGGATTAAATCTGATATTTTTGTGTTCAGAAAATTTCTTTATGATTTTGTAAACTGAATCCAAATGCACGTCATGTTTTTCGTGGTAAAAATAACAGATGACAGAAGTCTGTCATGTGACTCACATAGCAGCCCTCTGTCCTTGGAACAGCCTGCTGTAGTCCTCCTTCAGGCCACAGATGTAGCTCACTGCTTCACCCCAAACCTTCTTCAACACAACCAGGGGCATCTGTATCTTGGCCTCTTGCACTGCAAACATAAAACAAGACCCATGACAGCCATTTAATGGAGGAAGTTGTCACTAGGGATGGTATTCATCACTGTAGAAAATGATCATCTGCTATATCATAGTTTTGACACCTGACAGACGGATACAGGAAGACATGTGATGGAAAATTGGTGGAAATAAGTGGCCCCGTGCTTTATTAAATGTATTAAGATTGATGCATCCTAGGTACAGGTAAAATAAACTCACCTATAGTGTTGACTTTGTCAGGCAGTTGTCTGGCACTGAAGGGACCAGAGTACGTGTTGATGCTCTTGTCAAACAGGTAGACGATGTAGCTATCCCACCCTCTCTGCACAGGAAGAAAAACACTTATACAGACGGAAAAAAACATTTCCTGTCGCTCAAAAGAGTGTTAGTGGGTGATTCAAAGTCCCTCTGCGCTCATACGGTGAGTGTGTGTGAATCATAATACCTGCAGACACAGCTTGTTCTGCATAATTTTAGCTTTTTGTAGCACTGACACAGCTGCTCCCCACCTGTCTTTGTAAAGGTTCCAGTGGGTTACAGTAACATGAAAGTGTTTGTTATTCTTCAAGAGAGTGAGATGGATGATGACAAACTACAACAGAGGTCTGCAGGGAGGTTACCAACACACAGTCGTCTTAAACCAGGAAGTATCGTCAACAGCGATTTAATGTGTTTGTTTGTTCTGTTTGATTTCTATCCGTTGCTGCACAGTGTGAAATCTACGCTGCTTACCACTCCGTCTAGGACACACTGCGCAGCGGGCTTCCTGGGGTCCAGGGACACTCCCGTCTCCTGCAGCAGCTCCTGGTTCACCACTTCGATCTTGGTTTCGGCCTCGATGCGTTTCTGCAGACTGTGGAGACTTTCGTCCGTGGTCAGCTGGAAAGAGTGAACCTGAGCCGTGGTCATGTTCAGGATGTGAACCACCTGGAGAGACACAAGAGGAAAGCAGTTAGGACAAAGCACAGGGACAGAAATTCAGTGTTTACCGAAATGTTTGGTATACTGAAGGTCATAACCTCTTAAAGTAATACTCCCCTGATTTAGTATTACACTACAACTCACAATGGGCAGTTTAAAAAACAGAAATATCGTCTTATTTATTCCACACATTCTTCTTCATTCTCAAAACATTGACCCTATATTATTAATGATCATTCGGATTAATAGCGGCTGTGTTGCGGGTGGTTGAAACGCAGCAAAGCCCATTAAGTGGAATTTATGATCCAGATACAACAGTGTCTTCATTGATTATTTAAATCTCCTGACAGACAGGATCGGTCAGTATCCAGAGTTTATTAATGTTCTACACATCTAAAATATCTCCATCAGAGCTGTCGGAAAAACTTATTTCAGAAGTTTCCTCTGTCCTGTCGAGTTTATAACTGCAGTGTTTTAAGTTGCACTCAGTGTCCAAAATTAACTATTTGATTGTCCAAGGTGACTAGCAAATAAAAAAAACTGGCCAAGTATATTTTTTACCTGGCAAAATAAATAGCTTTCTTGTGTCACATATATATTCGTTTCAGTACATGTCATTGAAATGATCAGATATAATGTGGAATACAAACTTAAAGAAGAGACCAGAGCTAAATCCGATGCACAATTATTATAATATATGGTTTAACGGTTAATTAATTTGCTACAATGACATTAGTGCGTGCATGTCTACAATTACTGAAAGCAGCCTCCTTAATCATTAAAGAAAAACTCTCAATACAACACAAGAATCACAGAGATAATTAAAAAAGACAATGTTGCCTACAGGGAGTCAGCAGAGGGGGAGTGAAATGTCCATGTGGTCTCAAAATGGGAGAAAATAATTCAGGTGGGTGGCGGGTGGATGATTTATGCCAACATGCAGATTCAGATGAGCTCACTCAGAGCCGGTCTGCGTATCACTACTTCATACAACTCTCATCAACAACACATGCAGTAAAACTCTCCCAGACTTGTTAACACGCTTTGACACCAGCTTAGTTCCCTTTAAAGAGTTAAATGTTTCACCAGAGGCCAAACATTTCAATGTCTAAATCACACTGTCTTCACACAGTCAAAACCTTGCAGCCACACCGACGCTTTAATCAAGGGTGGGAGTGGCTGCAAGTTTTTGTTACAATCAAGCAAGAGGACACCTGAAATGACTGTGTGAAGACAGTTCAGTTGATTGAATGAACCAAGTCAGGTGTGCTGCTGCATGGCTGGAATGAAAACCTGCAGTCACACCGGTCCTTTCACGGATCAGTTTGACATCCCTGGTCTAATTCATTAACCAGCTGTGTATCGCAACTTTAACTCATAGCAGCAAATATATAAAACTGAAACCTGGCATTAAGTGTTTGATCAGATTCCTGATCTTATTTTACTCTCTGATCAGAGAGTGAGACACTGTTTTACTGAGGTGAAGCTCTTGTATGGCTGCTTGTGTTTAGACAACATTAAAACAACACTAAGAATTTTTGGCTTCTTTTGTTAAATGGAAAAAAAACTGAAGGTTTGTAGAAAAACTTTGATGTCAGTACAGAAACTCTGGCACTGGTCTAAAAACATCTCAAAGAACAGTTCAGGAGATCAGTTACAGGAGAAATATGTAAAAGCTGGTTGACCCAGATTCAAGCGGCTCAAAAGCACTGGTGAAAGGCTGCGAGATAAAAGTTTAAGAAAAGGAGCTCTGCCAGGAACTCACCTTCATACTCAGTATCTGCTCCAGCGCTTCAAAGCACTTTGGTTTCTTGGTGTCTGGGCTGATTTTGCCTCCTCTCTGGACAGGATCCCACTTCAGCATCAGCTGGAGCAGTGACTCCATCGGCTCCGACAGCGTCCTACATAACAGCCATTAAAATGTGTGTTCAAGGAGAGAAACTGGCACCAAACACTCTCCAAAAAGTCGAGTTTCCCTTTCACTTTAACAAGCAATGTGTAATTCCTCTCTCATGGAAGCACAGTGTATGAGCAGTCACAGGGTACCAACCTGCTGAGATTGTTGGGGTAGGGGAGGTGTGTGGAGAACTTGACTTCTCCGTTCTGTTCCTCTACAGCCATGATGTCTTTTGGACCTTTATTCCTCACTTTGCTGGCCCTGTGGATGACAAGAGACAAGATGCTGATGGATAGTTTCACATCATAAAGGGATTCTTTTATGAGACGTAAAACAAAACTGTAGAATAATTTGATGGAAAACTTTTAAGAACCTATACAACCCTTTGACCCGGTCATCGTAAAACCACACGCAACTGTTAAAGAGGCTATTATATGCATACAACCTTTAGCCCTGTTTCTAACTACACTCTATGCCCAAGTAAACAGCGGGATGATGAGACTTCACTAAGAAGCCAAGGACATAATCATCTCAACACACTGTCTGTCTGTTCACTGTCCCAGAACTCAGGAATGTGTAACTGTGTTAGAGTGACGCTCCAACAGGGATAAAACAATACTGCTTCTTACAATCTCGGCTCTTTCGGACTTTCACATACGAGAGCGTGTGACGGTGGCGTTGAGACCATTCAAGGATGACTTGAATAAAAGCTTACAGAAAGACAAGATCATACTTTGTATGCTTTATTAAACAAATTGCCACCACACCAGTCAGGTAGTAACTGTGATAGAAAGTTCATGTTGTTGATTTGGCTCCATCTGCTGGTCCTCTTTATTATAAGTGTGCTGTTAAACATGTACTCTCTTTACTTATATCAATTCAAAGCTGTTTGAACACAAGTAGGTTTTAAGTTATTTAGCCAACAATTATATTTAACCATACATATTTGAGTCAAATATTCTACATTTGACATTGACGACATTTACACAAAATATTCCAGATTTTGCCCTAATTTATAAAAAGACAATATTCCTACTAAGCTGTCTCACATCCACTAACAGTCCTGTTTACACACAGCTGTTGATAACAGTCGTTCATGATGTTTAAAGGCCGGTGTGTTTCTCCTTCTGAACAGAACAGTGTGCTTTTCTTTGGTGCATTAAACCTCTGTTCCAGCCTCACAAACTGTTGTCTAGTTGGTTTGTTTTCAACACACAGAGCTGTTAAAGAATGTCTAAACTGGAAGATGCTCCATTTGGAATAAGACCTAGTTAAGAATATCCTAATGGAATAAGTTGTTTATATGACCCGTATCGAATGCCGAATAGAGTAATATTCGTAATAATAGTGGAAAACTAGTGTGCATGCAACCGTAGTCACTGTTATGACTACAGAGCAGCTTCAGTGTGTTAAACTCTGTGCACTGTGGTAGACTCTGCAGTCAAACTCTTTTCTATCTCGTGTAGATGAAGAGAGATTTCTTGACCTTTCTTGTGCTTAGTGACATTTTCCAACAGTCATTTGACTTAATGGAAGAAATCCTGCAGGTGTGTGGGAGTGAATGTACTCTTTATGCTTTCCACTGCTGTATAATGGACCCACCTATCACAAGTGAAACACACATAAAAGACTAAACTGAGGCTCTCATTATGAAAATAATTTATTAATGGATTTTGTCACTCTTAGTATTACTCTTTGTCCTACGTGGGAAATAATCATGCTCTAAGTTTTGGAACTGGAACTTCAATAATTTGGGGGACTTAAACGTTGCCATGGAGTCAGTCAGTTAGTTATGGGCTACGAGTTGAGACTAGACATTTTAATTTGGCAAATGTTTACATATTTGCAGGATTAAAAGGTCCAGTGTGTAACCTTTAGGAGGATCTATAGGCAGAAATGGAATATAATGGTCATAGGTATGTTTTCATTAGTGTATAATCACTTGAATGTAGGAATCATTGTGTTTGAGTTGTTTTAATCTACAGACGCCGTTGGTCGCCTTCCATGGAGTCCGCCACGTTTCTACAGTAGCCCAGAATGGTCAAACCAAACACTGGCTGCAGTTATAGCTGTCAGCGCACTTTGTGGCCACCATAGTTCCTCCTTTGCTCTTGAAGGGGAGGGTGAAGCAAGGGAGTTCCAATCTGCAGCTACACCGCTAGATACCACTCAATCCTCCACACTGGACCTTTAAAAGCCCAATGAGCTATTAGCAGCTCCTCTTTACAGGCAACTATTACTAGATTACTTTGATACTGAATTGTACTGTATTTATTTACACTGTATACAGACAGTGTACATCACACTGAATCTAAAAATGTGTGTCTTGTGTCTGTGTGTTGGGATTAAACAGAGTTATGACTCAGAAAGGAGGAAATGTTTTCATTCAAACTGCTGAGAGATTTAAAGCATCTTAAATGCCTGCATGAGGTGTGTGTCACACCCTCTGCTGCTGCAAGTGCTGACTGTGTTGGTGAGCAGCCAAGTTAGCAGACTTACCGGTACATACAACAAATTACCTCCTGTTCTCCTGAGAACACCTGCATGCACCTGTCCCTTTCATCTCACTCAGTATCTTTTCCCTCATGTCTCGCCCCGCCCCCAAACCTCTGCTGGAGTCTTTGATTTAAGAGCTAACTAAAGTCTCCATCCGATATATTCTGACAACTTTCTGGATAAATAAATCACTGCTGCACACATGTAATAATGTTTTATCAGGTCACTCACCACTGCACGGGTTGAAGGTTGTGCAGGAACGGACGGAAACCGCAGCTGCATTCAAACACCATGGTGCCAAAGCTCCAGTAGTCCACAGTAACAGTGTATGGCTTGTTCTCAAACAGTTCAGGAGCCTTGGAGAGAAGAAGTGTATTTGAACAGGATACATCTGATTGACAACCATCTTATCAACAATGACATTTCTACCTATTTTGACAATTTACAGCAAGTGATGATATTTTTTAGTTTTCATTCTACACCTGCTTTTGAGTTAAACAACCACCCAGTTAATTAGCTTTTCTACATGTCATCATTTGTGAAGGCAGGAAGAAGATTAAAGGATTTCAATAGGGAATCAGGATGAGCCACAGATTAAATAAAGCTATGTGCATCTGAGGATCAAAAAATAAATTCCTTGTTTGCTGAAGTGTTTACCAGGTACTGAAGCGTGCCAACGAAGGAGGTGCACAGACTGCCCTGGTCCAGATCTTTAGCGTAGCCCAAGTCAATGATTTTGTGAACCAGCTGTAGAAGAACAAGCGAATGTAAGTTTCTTTAAGACGTTCAGTCAAACGGGACGGGAACACAACCAAAGCGTGGCAGTTTACCTTTCCGTTGATATCCTGCAGCACTATGTTTTCAGGTTTAAGGTCTCGGTGTATGATCTTGTTTTCGTGCAGATACTGGATACCAGATCCTGCAGCAGAAAAACCGGGGGGGGGGTAAACTGAATGATAAGGCACTGAAATACTAATAAAGTCTGAATGAGCAAGCTCCACATAGAAAAACATCAGACATACCGACATCATTGAGTAATGAAAGCACTTCACTCTCTTTCAAACCGCAGCAGTTTTCAGGTTTGCTCAGCATCTGTAACCAACACAAATGATTTATTTATTCTATCACTGGCAGTAAACAACACATGAAATGACAGAATGGTGACACGACTTGATGAGCTGCACTACGACAATATGAATGTATGCAACTGGTATGGCGTGTGTTTAAGACAAATTACTACATCTACACTGAGCTGGGTCATTTTGAAATCCAAGTATGTCCACACAAGTGTTCTCAGGCCATTTCTGATACGATCTCCAGCAACACGGGAACCCCCCCGTAAACACAGCCAACATCTGACTGAGACTGACACAGCTTCACAAACTTCAGAAAACTGTTCGCTCTCATGTACTTCGTTTTCACACGAAACTCACAGTTGTTTCAGTTTCACACAACTAAACAAGCATAACATTTTATTTCAGTGTACAAAGACTCCCTAACAGTAGAACTGCCACACAAAGGTTGACGGTTTGAGTCCAGACCGAGGAGACCTCAGTCAGTCAGTCAAATCTCTTTCTTTTTTGTTGTGTACACAGAGCGATGCAGCAACAGCATGGGAGGGTGTAATCTTTACTGTGTCTCAAAACTAATATGGAAGTAAAGGAAGGCAAAGGAAGACTGTTATCTGCTCCGACACTCTCTGGGCGCTGAAAGGTAGTGAGGTAGTTTTTAAAACATAACTTTGACCAGGAAGCACACTTTATTTTTATGTTGATAACATCACAGATGATGATTAAAGACTTGAGTGAGCTGAAGGAGGCACTGCACCAACATGTCAATCAAATCTCTATTTTACAAGTCTGACAAAAATAAACATATAAATTCCAGTCAGGCTCATGTCATCGTTTTCCAAAAGGGTGGTTTTAGATTTATCCACACTGCTATCGAGTGAAAAGGCGTCATTTTGGGGTGTGAAAAACTTTTGTAGTGTGAATGGAAAGTCGAAACAGAGGAAAATCTGTCTTCATACGGACATTTTCAAAGCCTCCTCCTGTCCTGAGTGCTCACCTTCCTCAGGTCTCCCCTGGAGCAGTACTCCATGGCCAACAGTGGAAGATCATTTAAGGCTATGCTCAAAATGTCCTCTGGAACATCTCGGGCTGTCACAACGTTGATATGATTTAACCTGAGCGAGGGAGAGAGAGGGAGGGAGGGAGGAGTCGTTACTATTTAATGATGCCCGCACAAAAATTTGCACAGTCATCCACGGCTACAATGACTGCACAATACTTCAGATGTCTTATTTCATCCGTCTGAATGTCTGCAGTTTCCCTTAAGGTAATGAATAACTTATAATGAATGTGAGTAAGTATAGACATTATAATTACATCAGGACAGCACTGGATAATGAATGCAGGAAGAAAACGTATAAAAATGATTCAAACTTTTTCATGATCTGGATTTCTCTGCCCCATCTGTCCTTATTCCTCGGTGTGAGCTCTAGACGGCACATTTTCACAGCTAGTTTTTCAGTCGTTTCCTACAAACCAAACAACAGGAATAATTCCATTATTATATCAGCACACATACGTCTCCGATCCCAATAAGACGCAGTGACACGGATATCGTACTGGTTACTTTTCAAGGTGTTTCCATGTAAATCTTTGGTGTCACAGGTGTGCAGAGTCAGTGTTGTGTGGCTCTGAACTCACGTGATGTTGGTAGAGGTAAACATGGGCAAAACCTCCCATGCCCAGCCTCTCTTTCAGCTCCCAGTCTCCGCAGCTCTGGTTCTGCCTGAAGGGAGGTTTCTCCATCGTTGCAACGCAAGCTGGACCAAAGTGTAGAAACAAGGTTTACGTGACGATATAATACATACAGTAACCGAATATTAAAGTAACTGGATTACTTTTGGATAACACCAAATATGCAAAAGACAAGAGAAAATAAATGTAAATAATAAATAAAAACAACAGAACTTAGATGTTTTCTGTGGCTTTTGATTGTTCTTAATGGGTTTTTAACTTTATATTGTTGTTGCCTTATATACTTTTATTTTATTTTATCTTTTAACACTGGTTGTTGTTAAATGTGCTATGTAAATAAACTGGATCTGATTTGAATGTAACCTTAGAAAACTAAAAGGAAATGAAGATCTTTGTCATCAGAAATGTGTTTTGTGTTTAAAGTCTCTGAAAATAAAAACTGATGCATTTTAAAACTATAATCCTGATCCTATTTTTACTAAACACAACTATAATCTGACCGCGTCTTCATTATTTAGGTTTCCTTTCTTTATATCCAGAGTCGGTAACTTATACACATGTAATCTATTACTTCTTTAATCCGATTATATATCATTTACCTCCCAGGATCTTTACATTTCTCCACAGTTAGCTAATAAAACTATAAAGCAGACGGGTCCCGGCTACATCCTGGAACAGCTGCCAGGCTAACACCAGATATGTGCGCAGTACCGATGTCCAGTTCACATTTTATCTATTCTAAAACGTGATATTTAACTAAAAACAACCCGTATAACAAACACACACACACTCCCGAACTGTATTTACCTTATTGGCTAACAGCTGAGCTAACGCTACATCCACAGTTTACCCAACTAGCGTTACAGCTACATTTCCAGGAGGTAGACGGCCCCCCCCCGCGTCGCGAGCTCTCTGGCATTAGGAAATGGAGGCTCGAGCGGCCGTTAAGTGACGTTTAAACGAACGTGCTCGCGCCGAACTGCTCGCGAAGAGACCGTTGAGACTCACCTCGCGCTTCTACGACGGTGTCATGAGCCGTTCTTCGGTGGAAACGTTGCGCAGTCCGTCCTGTTGTGTTGTTGTGCTGTTGTTGTTGTTGTTGTTGTTGTTGTTGTTGGTTGTGTTGTGTTGTGTTGTGTTGTGTTGTGTTCGGCTCAATGCAGCGCCGTTGCGACCCGACGTCACCCGAAGCCCCCGGATGTGATAACGAAACCGAGGCGCGTTCAACAGCACTGCGGCTGCGGCTGCGTTCAGGCGCCGCTAAAACTGTGCAACAACCATCAAACGACGGAATTAAGATGTAAAGAGCAGTTTATGTAACAGTGCGGAGGGATACAGTTACTGATTACATGTTAATCTGATTACTGATTACAGGCAATTAGTAACCATAAAGGCTGAGGTAATCCTAACAGAAAGTAATCAAGTTACTTTAATATTGTAATCTGATTACTGATTACAGGTAATTAGTGACCATAAAGGTTGAGGTAATCCTAACAGAAAGTAATCAAGTTACTTTAATATTGTAATCTGATTACTGATTACAGGTAATTAGTGACCATAAAGGCTGAGGTAATCCTAACAGAAAGTAATCAAGTTACTTTAATATTGTAATCTGATTACTGATTACAGGCAATTAGTGACCATAAAGGTTGAGGTAATCCTAAAGTAACAGAAAGTAATCAAGTTACTTTAATATTGTAATCTGATTACTGATTACAGGTAATTAGTAATCATAAAGGTTGAGGTGATCCTAAAGTAACAGAAAGTAATCAAGTTACTTTAATATTGTAATCTGATTACTGATTACAGGTAATTAGTAATCATAAAGGTTGAGGTAATCCAAACAAAAAGTAATCAAATTACTTTAATATTGTGATGCTTCTTATCGGGGTTGGTTGTTACTTTTTAAAATGTAATCCGATGTGGTAATCTGATACAATTACTAATTACCTGTTAAACAAAATTCGTCAGTAACATAATCCAAGTATCACAATATTAAAATAAAGTAACTAGATTACTTTCTGTTACGTAATCATGACACAAAAAAGAGAAGGAATCAACTTTATTTTCTCTGGTGTAATCCGTTTATAGCAGGTAATTAGTAATAGTATTGGATTACATTTTAAAGTAACCCTACCAACCCTGATAAGAAGTAACTTGATTACTTTCTGTTACTTTTGGACACCAAACTGATGTGTATAAGAAAACAAAATAGAGTTTAAGCATCAACAATGTGTCTGTTTTTGTATTTTTAAAGAAAAACTGATGTATTTTAAAACTGTAATCCTGATAAATAATTAATTCTTTTACTAAAAGTAACGTTTTTTTGTATCCTGATTACATTCCTAGTTACATGTAATTCTTAAACCTGCTCATATAGAATATAATTTGAATCATATGACACTTTAATATGTATGTATATATAAGAATATTCTATATGAATATCAGTATGTAAAGTAACTCAAGAACTGTATTTAAGTACAAATTCAAGGTACCTTTACTTGAGTATTTCTATTTTATGCCACTTTATACTTTATACTTCTTATTTTATGGTGATTATATTTTGATATATTTGGATAAAAATAGACCAAAATAGAGTCTCAACAGATTCTCCTTAAGCTCGAGGACACAAAAACAACCAGACCTATATTATCAGTTCATTACTGAAACATTAACACAAGCTGTATTTTAATATGTAATTTAAATCTACTGTATAACTAAATAACATAATGTATATCCTCACTGCTGTCAAACAAATATATCATTAAATATATTTAACACAATGACGTTGGGACACAGGTAAGCTTCCAAAACACTTTTATTTTCATCTTCTATGCCTCCCAAAAAATGAGAAGCTCACAAACAACATTTCCTCGGTGAGTTTAGGCAGTGACACATGTCGCTCACTGTGTGTGTAGCATTAGATGAACGTTGCCTTTGTACCTGCACCAGTCTAAAAAACACTGAGATGGATCAGATCAGACCTCCACATGTAAAAAGGTTTGTATGAGCTGGCTCGATTCTCTAGAACAACAACAACAGCATACGACAGCGTTAAATAAAGCTCCTTCATCATTCACATAGAAATTAAAATTAAAAAATTAAAATAAATGACCATGAGCTCAAGGACAGGGGGAAAAAAAACAACATGTTGACCTACCTTATATATTAACCCTTCGTTTAATACTCTTAACCGTAATATAAATGAACGCAGGCCGTAATATCTCATGCTTTATTTACATGTCACATTCAGAAATGAGGCTTCGAATGGAAACGGACAGTTTGGGCGTGCACTGCTGCTTTAACAGAGGTTACCCTGCCGCCGTGAACGCAGTGCAACAGGGTGACTTTCACTTGAGCATCACAGAGCCGTCACCAGGGGAACCAGCCATTTCCATGCTAACCAGTGCCATGGAGATCCTGCAGCTGCTCTTTGATGTAAGTGAGCGGTGACAACGCGTGGAGGGAGGAAGAGGAGGAGGGGGGGGGACCTTGGAGACTTTGTCAAGGTGAAGGCTCTGAAGAGCTGCTTTCCTTTTTCATACTACATCCATACATACTGCGTGGAGCGTATAGAGCCTGTGTCTGTAATACCCATCAGTCAGATCTGTTACAGGAGCTCGTATCAGTGCAGCCGCCACTGAGTTTTAGTTCAATGATCCAATAACGATCTTATTATTGTGATTATCAATTAATCTGCTGATTATTTTCTTGATTAATCTGTTGGAAATGTTCAAAAAATAGTACAGAAAGCAATTTCCAACAGCCGGAGGAGACGTCTTTAACCTCTTCACCCCATTTAAAACTCATTTTCAGAGATACCACATATGTCTTTAGGGTAACTGCAGGGTGCGAACTACAGTTAATAACACATGAGCTCCCTTGATTTTGGCAGGTCTCTAAAATATTGAAAATATGCTATTTTTGCCATGTATTTCTACCTTTTTGTATCTTTATCATCATGGATCATGTGGCTTTATTATTATAATTATTGATGTGGGTATGTTATAAACGGATTATTACATATCAGACATGCCGACATAAAGCCAGTAGGTCTACATGATTGCAGCCATGAAGGTTTCTTTGCAACTGTAGTGCAAAAAACTTGGGTTTGAATGTTTCCCTTAATGTGAGCAGCCTGTTACAATGTGGAAACAGGGTTTTTTTTTCTAACTTGGAAGCAACTTTATAAGACTAACGATTTATAAGGATTTATAAGACAAACATCTGGGTTAATTTAGAGCGTTGTTTAGCTCCTTCCCAACATGCAAGCATGACATGGTAGGTACCGATCGATGCGTTAGGTCATCTAGTTTCATATGATACCAGCTTTAAAACAAAGCTCGCTACAGCCTCCGAAAGACAGCGTGGAGTGGTAGAGGTCAGGATAATGGGGTGGTATTAGGATGGCCAGTCAGATCCCCTCCCTCTTTGCATTTAAGAAGCTGCAACCAACAAATGTTGGCTGCAAGGATCAATTGATTATCAAAATACTGTTGGTGGAGATGAATTTCCTCTTTTGATCGACGAAAACACTAAAACATTCTCGTAAAAATGGGGATAAACTCTGCGTGCTGAGGAAGATCGTGTGATCCAATGTGTATATTTGTGGTAGAAGATATTTTCAGGCATACAGTAACTCAACTGCTGCTTACATGTGAAATACAAAAACATGTAAAGTTCCAGGCTAAATAATGAGAAGTGCTTTTATGCAATATTGGGGTTTCTGAGGATGATCTGATGCAACTGAATATTCAAGAATGACTTAAATCGGGACTTTCTGAATCAAAACTCATCACCGTTCTTCATGAATGACACTCAACGTGAGTCTGGCAGCTCTTTGACAGTTTGGCCACATTATAAACAGCAGCAGAGTCAAACACGATTAATAAATACAGAGCTGTAATGTCACGTTACGTAACCGGTAAAAGATACAGGAGGGAAACAATATCCACTTATTTTAAACCACCAGACTGAAAAGTGATATCAGTGAAATGAAAGTGCACGGGGGGCGTTTCCAGACTTCCAGACACTGAGGGGTTGACATCAAGTATGTGTCTCTGCTTTCCCAATTAATACGGACCCCAGTATGCAGAAATAGTCAAAAACACTAGGCGAAAATAACATCTTATATGCACAAAACTGCATGTTTTCTGCCCACATTTTCATTGGATTAGCATAAAGTGGGTGTGTCTGCAAAGGGGAGCCTCGTGGGTACCCATAAGACCCCCCCCCCGGACACGCCCTTGGAAGTGCAGACAATCCCAGGATGAGATGAGATATTGATGAAGTAAACTGCAGTCGGGCTGCAACTAATTATGATCATGATTAATCGTTCGGTCAACAAAATGTTTAACAGTTTAACAGTCTCAAAGCTCAAATACACTCAGTTTTACTGTCAGTGGTTCCCAACTCTTTTTGGGATTTTATGGATATTTCACATTTTAATCAGTGCATACAGAACAACTGATAAACTGTACAATGAACCCAAATAGTGACGTGAATAGTGATTAGGAAGTTTGTATAAAACAAGCGATTTGGATGAATTATGAGATTATTCCTTGTGAATATTGATCAGAGATGAGTTTTGATATTTATGTATTTTTAACAGTCGTACAGACTTAATAGGGTTATCTTTTGACAGATTCAGTGTTTTCTTCCCATTGTTCTATCAGCTCCTTGGTTATTTAAACTTTTCCAATGCAGGACGAGGCTGTTTATCAGAGGCTCTGTGAATACAACTTGTGTTCAGCTCTTCAAAGTTAAGATATTAAATAATAATCTGAACTTTAAAAACAACAATTTCTATTAGTTTTCTTCACAGAAATGAATAAAATGCAGAGATACAGACCTACTGTGTATATTTTTGAAAGTTTTCTTACACCCCTTATAATTAAGAAGACCTCGCGACCTGCTGTGAAGCTTTGGCGACCCCTAGTGGTGCTCCCGACCCGCAGGTTGGGAACCACTGACATAACACAAAGAAAAGAGGGAAATGCTCATCTGCAACTGGGGATTTTTTGTCGATTATAGTTGCTGACTCACTTTCTCCAATCGTTTCAGCTCCCGACACACTGAGATATGCTTAAGCCTGAATATTAAATCATCTGTTAACAACATGGGAACTGATGCTGGATGAAACATGTGTCAGACATTGTGAAAAAAACTGGCTGCAAACAACAACAGGCTCCTCTGAACAGCATGCACACGCTAAAATTCACATACAGCAAGACACACGAGTAAACGCACACTCCAACAGACTAGATAATACAAACAGGTGTTGTCTCGTTTAGCCCTGCGATGCCCGTCCCCCCCCCGTCCTCAGGTGAGTGGCCGATGCCATGCATATTCACTGCAGGTGCAGCAGGTGTGATTTATGGCTGAAAAAACTGAAAGTTGACAGCTCTCCCTGCTGGTTGGACGCTGGCACTGCAGCTGCTCAAGGTCTCATTTTAAAGCCTGAGTAGAAAATGGCTATACATCAGTAATGCTATGAGGTGTATATGGCTACCAAAATCAATCCACATGTGGTTCAGTGTTCAAACCACATCCTCCTTAATGAGTCACATTGTCTTCCTATTTTTTTCTTTTTTTTTTTACATTCCTCACCTTTTTCATGCATCTCTGACAACACAATCAACCCTGATCCCTTTAAAATCATGCTATTAGGTCATAGCGAACCATGCGCTGTCTTTGGAATACCTCCCACGGTAGCTTAAATCCTCACGTGAATTCACTATTTTTTCAACTACCGCGTGGCGACTTCCTGTCACAAACAACCCTTTGATCACTTACTAATCTTTGATAGGTACATAGGCTTTACTATAATACTCATATTGTGCTGAATTATTACCACCATGTAAGAAAAACAAAAAAACAACACATGATTATCGCGTAGCGCTTTTGGGACTTACAAGAAGAAAACTTTTGAGTGTACCTAATGCATCTGCACAACAGTGTGTTGAATATATTGTCATATATCCTACAATATAAGCTGATGGCGCCGTTATATACAACATATCCTGGATGTTTACAAAGAGTATGGATAACATATTTCCTTTTACATTTTCAATATCATATTTCATCATACACTTGACATACACAGGTGGAATAGGTTCAACATCAACAAACGACTGTAAAATACTGTAAAAATATTGAAAAAACAAGAACATTCAGGGTCTGCCTGGTGAGTGTTAAAATAGGGTTTTATAAATGAGAGGCTATAAGTACAGACAGAGATTACACATGTTGGCTATGGCACCGGCATGAAGAAAATGACCCCAGAGAACAACTTTACTGCTCTCAGATTTGCCCTCAAAAGTAGTAAAAGGCCTAAAAGAAGCTGTGCTGGATGCAGGCATGCGGATCACTGGAGGAAAACAACTTTCGGCCAAGAAATAGAAAGAGAACAGAAGCACACCACGGGACAGAAGCGGAAAGCAACTGGGAGAGGGATCGCTTGTTCAAGTAGAGCAAAGAAATAAAAAATAAAAGAACTCTTTCTCTTGATGAGATGCACATCAGGAGTACTGTGAACTTCTACTGATGCTGTTGCCTCTAATTGGCCATCGGCGGCTAGAGGAAAGAGGAGAGACGAGCTGCACCGAGCTGCACCATCTCATCATGTAGTATACCGCAGCCACACCCTTGAGCGCCGTCCGTAGATTACCATCTTAAGTGAAACACGTACAGGAGCCCAAAGCTGTAATGTCCGGCTCCCGTGTGGAATGTGAACACGCCGCAGCGATGTGGCAAAAGAAGGAGCTGGAATGTAATGGCTCCATAAGACCTGGTGATGTTTCACAAGTCTGTTACAGCGCTTAAAATCAGAGTGGTGATTTCAACTGAAATCAAATCATCAGTCGTCTAAAATGTGATGTTTTAAAATGTGTTAAAACGTGTGTTTGGTCCCAAAACTGAGTGAAAGGTCAAGAAAAAAGGTGGGAGAACGTGGCCGGAGGTGCCTTGAAAGAACAAAAGGGGAGAAAAGGAAAGGATGCTGGATGTACGTCCCTGTCTGGTGCCCTTCAGCGTATAAGCACCCTCTTTATCTCACTGCACAGTTCAGTCTGCTGCTGCACCCAGCGTACGTTCTCAAAGACACCTCGTCTCTGCAGATCTGTGACCTCCCAGCCGATCCTCCCACCTCCTGCACCAACAATCCTCGCTGGTGTTTCCCAGCCCTCCTCTGTTAGACGAGAAGATTGGGGTGCCGGGTAGGGCGTCATGGTTTGGGGGAGGGCGTGGGGTAGACCCTCACTCCTGCTCCCCCTTCAAGCAGAGCTCCAAACCCTCCTGGATCTCAAATAAAAACCTATGCAGGGAGACAGCCTGCCGCTGGCAGTGCAACGCTATGCCGCTCCCGGCGCCCCCGCCCCGTCTCACTTCTTGACGGCCTGTCGGTAGCTGTGTCTCTGGCCTTCCTGCCGAGGCTTGCTGCTGCAGCCGCTGGCTTTGCTGCTGTTGCCGCCGTCCCTGGTGCTGCTGGCCTGGCTCACCTGACTGGCCTGGCTGCTGTCCTGCAGCGTGGGGCTGGAGTGAGCTCTCTGCAGCCTGTTGTCCTCCAGCAGCTGGGACTCGAACACAGACAGGTCCTCCTCGCCGCTCCGGATCTTAGCTCGCAGCAGCATGACGTAGGTCGCATACCGTGTTTTCTATAAAGGCGTGTGAGAGACATTTAAGGATTGGACAAATGAGAGGGCGGCAGTACTGTAATAATGATTTCATGCTTGACTGCCTTTCCCATTTCCTTCCAGCTCACCTCGAAATCCAGATACTCGTCTCGCTGCCGGTACTCTTCCAGCTCGCGCCCTTTGACCTTGCGGTCAGGAGGGTAGGAGCGCAGCTCAGCCAGTTCGGTGGAGAGGGCTCTGAAACGAGATTCGTGGGATCGGACCTGCTCCTCCTGTAAAGCACAAGGAATCGATAATCACCTGCTTTAACTTCCATTATTATCATTACTGACTCCCACCTGTGCACCCAGTCCCAATCAGCTCCTCAACACACCCAACGGTCACTTTCCCTCAGAAGCCCACCACATTGTCTAATGAGCGTTCTGTCCCAGCCTTCCCGTTATCTTTTCAAAACCATTTGTCCTTCTTTTTGCACGCTCTGCCTGCCTGCCATATCCCTGTTGCCTTTGTTTATTTTAAATTACGGACACAATTGTTCTGATTTGTGTGAAATTCCCTCTTTACGTGTCCCTGGACAGTGTTTCTGTGCTGAGCTGCAATGCAGAACAACACAATGAGAGAATTTGGTGCCAAAAAGACGATGCCTTCAGAAGATATTCACTTGATTGGAAGCCTCATATACTTCAGATAAACCTTGGAATATGTTTTTACACAGAATAAATTACACCGGGTCAGTTATGAACAGGAGGAACGATTACAGCAAGAAAAACCAGTTCTCATTTGGGCACCTGAATATTGTTTGTAGAAGGACTGTGAACAAAAACATACTGTGTTGATATGGAGTAACGTATCATCTGTTCCCCTGTAGACGAAGCTGAATATTGTACAACAAAGTTCCTCTGCTGCAATCAGACAGGATGTTGTCACACTACATGACTGATCAGCAACAGGAGGTCACACACTACAAGAGCTTTCACATCCAGTCTGTCTGCTCTCTGTCGTTAATAACACGATTAATAACAAGCACATTGTGTTCGATTAGGAAAGTAGTTTAAATGATGCACAAAGGGCAAGCATGAAACTGAGTAAAACAAACTTATAATTAGCTCGATCAGCCAGCGATACACACATTACTAAACCATTAATCAAACGAATAACTTACAGCAGTCATCGTCAGACAGCGTTATCATACTTTAACAGTTACCTCCAGTTTGTGTAGTGACAAAATGTTAAATAATTATACATATTATCAGTTTGAATTCCACTAAAAGCTCCCTGCACCAAACTCCATTTAAGAAATATCACATTTTAACAATTCCTAACATGTCAATAAACTTGTTATAAAAAGAAAAAGAGCACAATGTATTTCTCATAATTGCAGCAATACTCTCTCATAGCTTTGATTGCTATCAGGCCATTTACCGATGTTACTGATGTCACTTAAACGACACACATCATAAATGGGTTTCCACTGATCGACATGAGGAATGAAATGCCTGCACTCACAGCCACTAGTGGCCACTAGTAATATATTATATTTGTGTTAAGTGGAGTGTTTATTCATGAAAGTTTAATTATAATTACTCTGCCTTTATGTTATGAAAAATGATGCGTCAGCCGGATCATTATTTTACTGTAAGAGGATTTACATCTGCTCGCTCTAATGAACCTCACAGGATCCTGGACTCAGACCAGGTTCAACCCCTTGTAGGACTAACAGCCACACACCTCAGACAGTTTGGACGTCGCCCCCGGCAGCAGCGGCCGGCTGAACTTCTTCTGCGAGCCGATGGCTGCCGGGAAGGGAGGAGCTGAGAACATGGCGGCCACCGCGTTGATCCGCGTGATCCAAGACTGCATCTGCTCGGCATTCCTGCAGTGGATAATACACGCCCACACATGCATACAGGCATAGAAAACAAAGACACAAAAGCACACAGATCTTAAACTCCAGCACACACAGAGTAGGTACAAACAGACTTATCAGCGGTGCAGCACGTGGCTAGCTCACAACATCAAAGGGATCATTATCAGAGAATGCAGCCTTGCTGTTGACAAAGAAATTATTTTGGAGCCAATTAATGCAAGAGAGAAAAGGGCCTGTTTTACACTAACAGACCCATTAGGGGCCCATGAGAAATATCCGATTGAATCAGACAGCCTTGCTCAAATCCCCGGGGAGAGACAGAGAGAGAGAAGGAGCGATAGAGAGACAAAGAGGAGTGAGACGGAAAGAGGAGAGAGACACAGAGAGGGGTACAGTATCTGGGACAAATGCAAGCTGCAACTGGAGCACAGAGCCTGTCCTCCTGGGGGCTGAAACATGTGGCCACTCATGTGCCACTTCCTGGATAACACACACATGCACACACCTCCACCTCGCTCTTAACATTCACTAAACATCCTGTCCAACATGTGTGTGTAGCCTCCGTCCGTGTGCTCTCAGCGTGTGTCCATGTGCACAGCTGGCACTGCGTGTTATCAGCGGAGGGTGGGTGCTCAGCTGTGAGCTACGGTACATGGCCAAAAGTATGCGGACACCATGGCGTTACACCCATATGTGATCGATGAACGTGCCGTTTTCCGGTTTCAGTCTGTGCACCAGTGGTTAGAAGCTGGCTGCAGGGATTTGATCCCGGTTAGAGAGGTTAAAGTCAAGGCTCTGTTCAGGCCAAACAAGTTCCTCCACACACAAAAAACAACCCATTTCCTGTTTTCCAGTATGCTGAAGCATTGAGATTTACCTTCATTTGGACTAAAGAGCTGAGCCCCAACCTTGAAAAACAGTGTGGATAACTGTACAGTGTCTATATATGTTATTTCAGAAACATTAGACTCACGGTGCCTGGAAGAGATACACCCTCCAGTCGGCCGTCCGCAGGTAAAACACGTTGGGCCTCTTGCTGTAGTCTGAAGCTTTCATGGCCAGAGAGTGGTGGATGGACACGGCGTTCTTCAGGTCCTCCTCAGACAGCTGTTTATCCGGCCGGTATTCCCCCTGGCATGACAATTATAAATAAGAAATGAATGCTATGATTAACACCGAGGGGTCATAACACTTATTAAAGCCGGAGAGCTGACTAAGAACATATTTTATTGGAGAAGTTAGAAACACTAGCTGCATTGTAACAGGGAGAGAAAGTTACTCTATATAATGACGACATATGAGATTCATGTTTTATTACATTAATTTGAATGGCCAGGGTAATTTACGGCCTTTTTAACAACACTTTATAACTTTTTTGCAGATAAAACAGAAGTCAAGTTTGAATATTTTTATGAACTAATGGTTTTCTTTATGCCAGATTTTAGGGGGCGCTGCGGGGCCCATTCATTGTAATGACCCCTACTAAACTAATAAACCCAAATCTGTAAAGGATACAAAATATGAAACCAAAGCAACTTATTTTCAAGTAGGGAGCTGTTTTCACCCTCAGTGGATGTGTCTGATCTAAAGAACACACGGGTGCTGCTTGAAATAACCAGCCCCAATGAGAGTTCTGGTACCAAAACAATACTCTTTTAGACCCACACAAACAAGGTCGCCTCCGTGATGGAAAGAAACAATTAAAACTATGGAGTCACTACAGGGTCAAAGCTTTGGCGACCCCCACTAGGCCTTCTTGATTTTAAGGGGTGTAAGAAAAGGGCCTAAATCTCAGCATTTGGTTCATTTCTATGAAGACATTATTATTTAAAATCTAAACTTTGAACAGAAGCAGTATTCACAGATCCTTCAGTCTCTGATAAACAGCCTCGTCCTGCATTAGAAAAGAATGCAGCTAAAACACCCAAAGAGCTGAACAATGGCCACGTGTCTATTAATTATTTATGATATTTTAAAAAAATACACTGCAAAAAAGGAATCTGAAGAAAGTTAAAAAGCCTTGTTTCTTTGTCTTCAGCAATCCTAAATATTATATATAATATTCACTTGTAATAAGCACAACTTGCTTAAATATTTGGCATTTTTTCTAGTTTTAATGCCCATTACAGTCTTTTAGTGGCTGATTTTTATGCCAGTTTTACCTCACTGGCAGATTGTTTTGCTCAATGCAAGAATATTTGATGATATTTAAGAATATTTGGCTTGTTTCTAGAAGGGCTGTTTTTACAGAGTACACAGTACAGAGAGAGAATTGTATTAAAAGGTCCTAAAATTAGCTCAAATTCATCTAAATCACTCATTTTAGACAAACTTCCAGCGGTCACTATTTGGATTCATTGTACAGTTGTTCTCTACTGTTATTGATATGCAATAAAAATAATTTAAAGTATGTCACTTAGTCAGTTTACTCAATGAAAGAAAAGAGCTCCTTTTAAGGAAACAGGCTGCGGTAGAGTGACGGTTGCCTGTTACGTTGGCAGAGATTTTCCCAAACCAAAGCCAACACATTATGTCAGAGCACTTGTTCGACACGTAAACAGGAAATGGGCTCAATAAAAGTCCCGCCCTTGGACAGATTCACTTTCTGGGTCGGCACTGCAAAGACGTTTTTTTTTTCATCTTCAGTATTTTGTTAAAGTAAAGCATGCTGGGAATTGTTTGTAAGCAGGTGATGAATACGAACATTTTGTATCCACCACGAAGGATAAAGATTCACCTTCTGTTACAAATTTGTTGCTGGCATCAAAGTAAAACAGGATGTTTATGGAGATACGGTCACCTGTTATTTTAAAGGTTGAATAATGAATATCAAGTAGCTGTTACAAATTGCTTCTCACACATCCCTTTTAGGCTTTTCCATAAAACACACTGTATGTAATGTGAGTGACTTACTTTTTGCAGGTAGAGAATTAACCCTTTTAGGATGACATAGAAGGTTTTCCAGCCTCTCTTCCCTCTCGGTGCTGTGAAGAGGAGAAAAAGTGTCGACGTTACAGCTTCAGATACAACTTCATGCTCTTGGCTTCTTTTTAAACTGCAGACTTTTCCAGTTCTGCGTCTTACAACCGCCACGTTGTTCCTAAACTTCTTTACACTCTAACCTAGCTTACAGTCATTAGTAGTAAAAATATATATCCTCACACTTAAAGAGAGAATAACAGCAAATATAAACACAACCCGTAGCATAATCCACCCATCATACACTCTTCAAAATATACTGAAACCATCGTATAAACTACAATAATATCACAACATAGAAATCAGATTTAAGCATCAGTTTTATTATCAAGTGCAAATTTGTGCTCACGGTGAGGTTATATATATATAGTTCACTAAAACTAAACTAAGTACTAAAACTAGGTGTAAAAAACTGAAATAAAAATAAAAACTAGTCTTTAGAAATAAACCTGAGACAATAATGTGTACTTAGGAAACTAAACTAAAATAACAATATACAGAAAATGTCAAATTTCTCAACACGAGCATGACACTGGGACGTCCACATGACTGTGAGTCAGCTGCCGTCATCAAGTGTTTGTACTGTAAATACTATTCTGAACGTCTCAAATCCCCTGACAAATAACCCCCCTATTATTATCTAAAAAACTAAACTAACACTGAAACGAATAACCAAAAATAAACAATTAAAACTAAACAAAATAAAACTTATAATAAATCAGTTTTTATTTGTGGAGACTAATCCGCCAGCTGATGTGTGTCTCGTCTTTTCCTCGTGAGCCGGACAGAACGTATTCACACTGACAGTGAAAGACAGAGATGCTCGGGTCGATCGCTGGTGTGAAATTGGTTCTGACACAAGCTTTGGGTAAGAGCTCTGTGGTCGCCCGGTCGTCGGCGTACCACTCAGAATGCAAAGATGAGGATTTAATGGAGATGAATTAAAAGGAAAGAGGCTTGTGGATTTTGCCTTTTGACTTTTCTAGAATTCTTCAACAAAAACTCTTTTGATAACCTTTCATCGTGAATGTCTTCAGATTTTACTGTCCAATTTTGAAGTCGATCTGATCAATTCTCTACGAGAAGTGCAACACGTGGAAATGGCAAAAATAACGGTATAATCATACAGTAAAATGTCAAAAGGTCCGACTTCCTGTTGGGTTTACGATGTGGCTCCAAGAGGCTTTTTTGTACATCTGGAAATGATACACGTGTCTACCAATTTCTGTACATCTGGATGAAACGTGCTGTTGGGGCTGCTTCGTTTAGATACCTTCCTGCATTCACATTCACAACACGCTGTACACTACACGCTCTACATGGCATCACATACAGTATTATTGGGGATGTGTGCTGCAGTATTGGGGAATGAAACACAAATACAGAACCACTAAAAAGTACAAAACACGACTGAGACACATTTGTTGTTGTTTAAGCTCATTTTCCAGCTAAAGCTAACTGAAACTTCAAACAGGGTTGATCCTCTTGTCTGTTTTGTCTTTTGTCTTTTTTGGTCGCTCATTGATTTGCATCGGTCTTGATGTTGGGAAGACGGGCAAGGATGCAAAAAAATTTAAAATAAATCGATGATTCCCCTCAAATACATTAAAACTGAAACCTGTTTTGAAAGTGTAAAGAGTAGAAAGCACAGATATTTGATAGAGACAGATAGCCCAGAACAGACAAACCAAACCTCTTGTGTTTCATGGCCACTGTAGTTTCTCCTTCACATTTAACTGCCCATTCTCATTCGCAGGTCGTCAAATACAGACGCCAGCAGTGTTCAGTTAGTTGCAACTTCACTGCTAGATGCCACTACATTATAAATTCAACACACTGGTCCTTTAATTTGCATTTGTTTTGTCTATTTGCATTTGTTTTAGTAAGATTTATAGAAAATGCATGACAGAGAGAACTGTAACCAACATAATGTTTCCTTTCTGAATTTGTGGAACTGTACATTATGATGTGGGGCCAACCTAGCTGATGTTTCTTTAGTGTCTAATATGGGCTGGGAACCATGGGATGGTGCAGGACTACCGTAGAAAACAGCATTTTAGGAAAAAGAAGATGGATAATGGCAACTTTAAAGGCAACTTTATCAGCCGATGATCATCATGTGATGTGATGAAAGGTTCAGTTACTGAATGGACCTTGAAACTCGAGATGGGAAAGTGTGAATGGGAGAAGGTCGTACTTCTCTTGCCGTCCGAGTCGGCGTGGACTTTACGGACCAGGAACCCGTTCTTGTACAGCAGCGACCCGGAGGCCTCCGTCTCCTCCGACAGGGGCTTCCCACTGCTGCCCACCCGCTTCATCGATTTAGAGGCGTTGGAGTCACACAGGCTGTCCCCGAGCTCCGAAAACGACTTCCGCAGCTCTTCCTCGTCGCTATGGAGACAAAAAAAAAATAAAAAACAAGATTCCATGGTGATCAACACTTATGTGTCATGTCTCATTAGCAAACACATCATCATTCATCCTGTCCCTTTGCTCTCTCACTCTGTGCTCGTTACACAAGGAACAGCACAGGACAAGAGGTCCACAGATTTCACACACTTACTGGGAAACTTTCATTTCATACAGAACACATGAGTAATATCGCCGGCCACTGCTGCTGTCTTGGCGGAGCTTTTGTTGCACAAGACATTTACAAAGCAGCGTGTATCTGGGGGAAACCTGAGTGAATGAATGCCTTCAAAGCTTTAATGGTGTGCCCCCCCCTTTCTCTCTCTCTCTCTCTCTCTCTCTCTCTCTCTTTCTGTGTGCTCTGCTCTCCTGAGAAGCAGTCCGCTCTCCTTGATCAAAAAGTACCACAGCAAAAGAGTGACACCATCTATCTTGTTCCAGCTTTGAGGTGAAAAACAGGGGCATCGTTACCCAGGGGGGGCCAACTCCTCTCAGAAATGCAGACGCACGGTTACTCTTCCTCCTCTTGATGCTCACATGAAGCCTCACAGAGGTGAGAAAGACTTTTGTGGCTTTTAACGCTTTACAGACTTAAAGAAAGAGAGAGGAAGCTTCCTATATGCTCCATTTCCACATTTAAAGGTCTAAAAATGATGAGACTACCCCAGATGTTTCCAACAAACACAGAGAAATAGGGAATTTCATTCAGAGAGTGAGAGGAAGACAGCAAACGTAAATGTAATATAATGGATAAAACTTTAATTTAACTTTATGAGTCATGTCAGATAGATTTTTATCATCAATAGTTATAGTTGTTGTTTAAGAATGAAGACAACAACTCCACACTGCAAGAAATGAATCTCAAGAGTCGAAAAAAAACTTTAAAATTATTTTGTAAGGAAACGTTTGAAAGATGGAAACACTGAAAAATATTCCATTACTCTGATTTTAACAAAAGTATATTTTAATCGTCTTAATTTTGGGACACAATTTTGTGGTGAAGTAGCACAAAAGTAATATAACTAGTAGTGTAACTAATTACTGTCGGCAGGGAGTTGTAAGTAAAGTAATACTGCACTGTTGTTGTTTTAATGTGAAAGAGACCACTAGTGGCAGAAATCACATGTTTAAATCTCAAATTAGCAGCCACAAGAATGATACTATTTACTATATACTATACTATTATATTATACTATATTATTATACTATATGTATATAAACTACACTGCCGGTACTCATATAGCACAGTAATACAGCCGACGCTCTCAGTCTTCACTTATAAGCCAACTTGAGTTCAGCTGATTCACCAAACACACGTATTTATTTCAGCTCATTTTCTGACTTCAGTTAGCCGACTCCAGTAACTTCATCACGAACCACAGCGACAACGACGTGTGCTTCACTTTGAGGTTGCGTTCTCTAACTTTGCAGCAGTTTTTGTTGAAGATGTTTGTCTTTTGTCTCCACGACGACGGCCTTTGACAACATCAATAATATTAATATTAGTAAGGCTGCATGATACGGTAACAACATCATATTGGGATTATTCTGACAGATAATGGGATATGATTCGTGATTAAGGATCCTTTTTGAATCACAAATGTAATTTTCAGTGTTAAATTGATGATGATGTGAAATGTTTTTGAGGGTCTGAACCAAACAAACATGTTTTCTTAAATCTGAACATTTGTAGGTCAGAGAATCTCTGCAGCTCTACTTCATTATGATGCTGTTTGTCACATTTTACCTTTAGCGAAATAAATGCAGCCTCTGTGATTTGCATATTGCACTCGGACATATTGCGACTGCGATAATATTACAATGAATTGTGCAGCTCTAAATATGATCAATATTTGTACTCATATTTGATTTACAGCACTTTTTATTATAAGTCAGGAAATTCAGAACTAGTCTTTGAAGGGCGCCCTGGTAGCTGAGTCCTTGCTGCAGCATCCATGGATGAGTCTGACCTGTGTCAAACCCTCTCACTCCACCCGTTTCCTGTCCACATTGAGCTGTCCTTTCAAAATAAAGGCAAAAATATATATATAAAAAAGCCAAGAAAACAACTTTGACCTACTGTATTTAACCTTTTTATCTTCAAATAAAGAGGTTTACAAAATCTGGAAAGAAAATGTGTAAGTTTACTTGAAACTGGAGCACTGACGTGTTTGAGAACATAATTGTAATTTACTGCATTCTTTATTAAAGTACGTTTTCAGGCTAAGAGTTGTTGCTGGCGGATCTGAAGTTCGGCTCATTAGAAACCGGCCTGGAGGAGCCATCACCGAGGATCCGCCGAGCTCCGGCTGCGCTCAGCTGCAGCTTTATTTCTTCTTAACTACCCTCATGAGCATCGTGTGCTTCTCTGTATGTGTGTGTGTGTGTGTGGGGGGGGGATTTCCCGTAAAACGAGTCTCTTTATGTCTTTTATAACTCTTCTTCCAGAAAGTGAGCAGTTTATTTGTGTTTTTGTTTAGAAAACGAAAGATTTTTGTTGTAATCTGTATTTATTGCCCCATACAATCTTGTTTTTATCGTATGTTCTTGTCTAATAAATAAAATAAATATTTTATTACACTTTGAATACCAATTTTAAAACGTTTTATCATCCATTTTGTTTTTATATCAATACATATTCTTATTTACTAACCCCTTTTTTATTCTTTGTGTGTTTTCGTTTACTTTTTAATGTTTTATGACAGTTTTTAAACATTTTATAATCTATTTTTGTCTTTATCTTAATGCAGATTCTTGTGTACACCTCCTTTTTTATTCTTTATGTGTTTTATTTATTTTATTACAGTTTCAACACTAATTTTAAAATATTTTACCATCCATTTTTGCTTTTTATCTCAGTGTATATTCTTGTTTACTAGCCCCTTTTTTAAATCTTTCTTTGTTTTTGTTTACTTTATTACTGTTTATTACAGTTTTTAAACATTTTAAGATCCATTTTTGTTTTCATCTTCCTGTATATTCGTGTCTATGAGCCACCTTTTTATCTTCTATCCATCTCCTCACTGTTTAATCACCATTTTTAAATGTTGCATTGTTATTATCATCATTTGTTAAACTCCCTGTAAACCTCTGTTTCTGAGTCTTATTCTATCACAGTATATTATAAATCATGTAAGTGAGAGAGTATGTGTTTGTATTTGAATGATAGACAATACTTACTATACACGTCGCTACAGCAGCTAATCCCATTCTCTTGTAAATAATCCCTCACAATGCGCTGTATGCATTCTCTTAGTGTTTTTAAAGGGATTTGTCACATTAGGAGATGATAGATGCTTTAGGCTACAGCACCAAGTGTCTCTGCATCTGCTCGGTGAGGTAACATGGCAATTCCACTTGTTACCTCACCAGGCGGCACCCATGCAAAAGTTCAGCCCGAAAATAGAATAATGGCTGGATGCCGAACCCCCCCGAGACCACGCTATGAGTAACCAACAGTACATAACAGCAGTTAACCCCGTGCAGGAGCCAGAGAGAGAAAGGGAGGCAGAGACGGAGCCAATGAGCATGTAGCCTGTTGCCTGGTAACTGCTGGCCTGCCTGAATCCCATTCTACACAGAGACAAAGTGGAGCTGGAGAGAGGGGGGATGGATGGATGGAGGGGAGAGATAGAGAGAGAAGTGAGGAAACAGAGAGAGGGGGGGAGAGAGAGAGAGACAGAGAGAGAGAGAGAGAGAGAGAGAGAGAACAGGAAAAAAAAGACAAAGATGATCCTTCTCAGATGGCAGAACATTATCCTCAATAATATGAGTGAGAGAGGAGGAGGGGAGGAGAAAACAAAAGGTTAGGAAGAAGAAAAGAGAGATATGAAAACAAAAGACAGGAATGAAAAGGAAATCAGTCAGAGGAAAAGAAGAAAAGAGGTAGAAAGGGAGAGGAGAAGAGAGGAAAGAAAGGAAAATACAGGAATGAAAAAGTAAATGAAAAGTAAAAAAAAAAAAATACCAGAAAGATAGGAAAGAGAGAGAGGACGAGAGAAGAAAGGAATGGATCTTAGAAAAATGAGAAAGGCAATGAAAATAACAAACACTAAAAGAGAAGAAAAGAAAGAAAAGAAAGAAAGAGAAATAAGAGAAGGAAATAAAAGTAAAAAGTAGGAGCAGGGTTTGAGAGGAAAAGAAAACACAAAATATGGGCGAGAAGAAGGAAAGGAAACGAGGAAACGTTGTCGATGCAATATGAAGGAAAGACGTCTGAACGTTGGCCCGGTGACAGCAGTGCATTCTGGGTCGTTGCTGCATCAGTAGCCGATGGAAACACATTTGCTGTGTTTCACCTGTGACACCGAGTCATCGCACCAAAGGGCGAAAAAAAAAAAAAAAAAACACAGCGAAGTGAAAGAGGACATGAATTCATCCATACTCTTCCTCTCTTATACACGGCAAACATCTCCTCACTCACTCACACTGTAACTCCACATCAACCAGACTTCAGGAAAGGTCCGATTGTTGGGTTCAGAAAGCACTGATTTGTGGGTATTTATGCTCTTTTCTCTCTGTGTTCTCTCGTCTTCCTCGCTTCTCTTCCTCATCAAACAGGCTAACACAGGACTTCACCCTCAGACTCCTCGGATCAGTGCTGAGCTTGGTGCATTAGCTGAGAGCTTACAAAAGAGATTGGACATGAATGTGTCAGTGGATCCAGTTAAATAAAGATCTGTGGTTCCCAACCTCGGGGTCGGGACCCCCAACTAGGGGCAGCCAACGCTTCCCAGGGGGTCGCGACACGTTCTTGATTTTAAAGGATTGCTAGAAAACTTCAGTTTTATTTGTATAATGCCAAATAACAATTATCATAACTTATCTCAGGATCCTTGATTAAAATATACACTGTAGGCTGATACGTCAGCATTTGGTTAGTTTCTGTGAACAACGGCCAAGCGTCAGGGAGAAGGAAACACTGAATTTGTCCAAAAAGAAGCATATTAAGTCTGTATGATTGTTAAAAATTATATATAAATACATAATACAGACAGAGAATTGTATAAAAAGTTCCCTAAACAGGAAATAATCTGCTCAAAATTCATCCAAATCACTAATCTTACACAAACTTCCTGCAGTTACTAAGTTCATTATTTGGGTTTCTACAGTAGCCTGGAATGGACAAACACTGGCTGTAGATAGGGAGCTGGTAATCTGCAACTACACCGCTATATGCCATTAAATCCTACACACTGAACCCTGAATAAACACTGAAACTGGTGATAATATGAACCCTCTACAGCCTCTCTAGCGTTTAATATGGATGTTAGCTCTAATAACAGCAGAGTTTTGGTTCAGATACCCAAAACTTTTCTTTATTTCCTTCTATACTTTCAGAGAGTAAACTTGTTTTTCTACAAACCTCCTCCGTTCGAAGCCAAACTTCTCAAACAAGCAGCCACACAGGAGCTTTGCTTGAATAAAATCGCCTAAAATTGGCAAAATTTTGAATGGAGTCTGGAACTGTGTGACTGAAGACTGAACAAAGGGTCCGCCCATGCGTTCGATGCCAGGTTTCGGTACTCGGTTTGCATTAGAAACACTGAGCATCGATACCCAGCCGTGCTGTTTAATGTCATACGATGGCACGCAGGCTGCTCTCCCGCTGTAGGTGAGAGGTGGCGGCGGCAGAAAACAGTGAGACGAGATGATTAGAGCCATTGAGGGAGGAGGAGAAAAGGGATTAGCAGAATAAAAGGAATAATAGAGCAGATGGTTCTTGTCTGTCTCTCCATTCGCTCATCGCATCCTCCAAACTATCTTCCTGCCATTTTCTTCTGTACCGCCGACTTGTTGCGTCTCTCTTTTACTGCAGCGTGCTCACCACCACCACCACCACCACCACCTCTCCCTCTGCTCTCCACCCCCGCTCCTGAATGAGGAAGCATGTGTGTGCTGTATATGTCTGCGTTATATGTGTGTGTGTGTGTGTGTGTGTGTGTGTGGAGTGAAGAACATGTGGGTGCATCCAACTGCAACCGTCGAGAGTGGCCATGTGCGTGTCTTTTTCTCTGTGGGGGTGTGAAATAACATCCATCGCTGTGTTTTGCGTTGTGTTCTGCGTGCCCACACACACACACACACACACACACACACACACACACACCTGTAATGAGATGTATATGCCAGGGTTTACATATACAATTTGTATTCATATAATCACAGCAAGCAGTTTGTTTTAGCGTCTGAAAATCACACCTCTGTCACAGGCCTTTGACTACACTGCGTGGTGGCGGAGAGAGTGCGTTTTTTGTTTTTGTAAATTAGTAAATCAATGCTGTGGTCGATCTATATATAGGAAAGAATCAAATATACATGCACAGACTGTATGGTTCCCCAACAAGACGTGCACGAGGACAAACAAAAGTGGACTGAGAATCGATACAGAACTGAAGTGCGTCCGTCTCTAAGGGTGTTGTGATCTCAGTCACTGAGTTTGCAAGTGAAGAAATGTCCTCTGTGTGATGAAATATGCATCAACTAAGCAAGTAGGGTGTGAAAGTGGTGGCAAAAGTGACACTGTGCTCTGCCTCCAAATAGGGTTTTCAAAAGCAGAACTCCACCACAGACAGAATTTACTCTCTTTCAATGATCTCGGCCGGCTGAAATATTAAAAAACGAACAACTCTCTGCTGCCAAAACACCCCCCCCTCAAAAAAAACCCAACAGACCTCTGTGGGCTGAATCTCTTAATCTGTAATTCATTTGGTTTGGGTAGGTGGATTCTCTCTTTCTTTGGTGTTTACGTGTCTAAAAATGACATCCCTCCCTATCCCCACGCGGCCTCTTATGCGGTGGCAGTGTTTAAATAGCCGTCTATATGTCATTGGAGATGTTTGAACTGGATTGCCTGCCTCTCTGTGGATCTCCTCCTCGATCTGCTCCTCTGACCACTTTTATTCAGCTGCTTCGGGAGCGCTGCTGCAGCTATTTTTGGAGAGGTAGTGGGAGTCTGTGGTCACACCTTTGTACAGGATGCAGGTAAAGAGCCATTTAAATATCTCTCTCTCTCTCTCTCTCTCTCTTCTCTCTCTTAGTCTTTGTGCTTTCTTGCTTTTTCCACGTCCACACGGACACGTATGTATTTCCTGTGTACATTTGTGTGTACAGCGAATCCATCTGTTAGCGTGTGCGAGTGTTTGCTGCCGAGAGAACACAGGGAGGAAAGAGCAATGCGGTAGCTATGGAGTCGTATCCATGGTGCCGTAACTATGGCAACAAAGCTTGGAAAACTAGTGACTTAATTGGCATCTCTGAGGCACTCTGGAGCTGTGATCCAGAATAGCAACCCTTGACACACTAATGCTTCCTTCACATGCCAGACAACACTCACGTCATTAATGAGGATGCTAACAAGTTAATCAATATCTCTTATTGTTTCCTGCCCTTCAGGACAATGTGTGTGTGTGTGTGTGTGTGTGTGTGTGTGTGTGTGTGTGTGTGTGTGTGTGTGGAGCATGTGTTTAAATGTGAGCTAATCATAGACAAGGACAGAAACAGAGCCACAGAGGAGGAGAAGATGAAAGCAAACAGAGTTCATGTAAAATGACTTACATTGTCCATTGCAGCTTCTGATTCTTGATTGAGTTGTAGAGCGCCTGCAGAGGAAAGACAAGAACAATCACACTTTCAGACATATATGACAAATAGCAGCTGTGTTTTTTGGCTTCATCAATTGTCGATTTGATCGCACATTACAGGGTGAAGGTGGTGTAATGTGTGTTCGTCCGTGGAAGCTGCACAGTAAACAAGCAAGCTTCATTCAATAAATTGTACTCAGAGAAATGTCATCCCGTTTCGCGCTGCCCCAAACTGCCCTTTGCCCGAGCTTAACTCATTTTCTTTGCCAAACAATCCATCAATCATCCAATCAGTCAACCACCACAACATCGGTTACAGAGCCATTACCCAGCGAGCACCTGGCCTGTCAATGGACAGACCGGCAAATCAATCGGTCAATAAATAATTCAGACTTTGACGCATCGACCCGCACGGAGCAAAATTAAGTTACAGCTTTGAGACATGAACTTAAAAAGCAAAAACACGACAAATACTGAGTTGGTTTTACGTTTCAGTCTAAATGCTGTAGCATCGAATCAATTATCTTATTGATTGATTTGCTGCTTTTCTCAGGTTTGTATTTTTTAAATGACCAATGAATAGCTTTTTTGCTCAGACGAAACTATTTGAAGACGTCACTCTGGGCTACAGGAAACTGTGACGGACATTTTTCAACATTTCATTGTATTGACTTAAGGATAAATTCAATTAATCTAAAAATAATTGACAGATTGATCAATGGAAACAATCACTAGTTGCGCCTAGGTGCAATGTTGAATGTGTTTTACTAAAATTAGCAATACCACATTGTAAAATTAGATTTAAGCGATAGTAAACACTGTATTAATATGAACTACTCTTTATGCTAAATGGCTCCTTTTATAGTGTAAGAGAAAAGTAGACGATTAAAGCTGCAGTCTAAGAATGTTTTTTGATGAACTTTCAGAGTCATTTGAAGAGTCAGAACTGTTTGTTTGTTTGTTTGTTTGTTGTTTTTAACAACAGTGATGTCAGTTATTTATTTGGGTAGCTCAGAGTTATAGAATATTAAATCTTCCATCCTTGCTCGCTACATCTTAACCTTTTTTACCATCAAGTGTTTGTGAACTACAGGTTATGAACTTCTTTTTAAGATACAGAAAGCTATTGCATATCGAGCATCCCTGCTGTTTATGGATAAAATGAACACACGAATGTCAGTTTTTTAGCAAATTCCATGAAATACCTGATGAATCAAAGCATAAAAAAGCAGTTGCAGCAGTACCAACTAAGGTCTAATACAACCGGAGACACTGTAGTACAGTAAAGGGATGGTATCAGCGGTATCAATGACTTTTCAGTTGACATATTCAGTACATCAACCATTCCTAACTGCTCCTAACACGCATTTTAGAAAACATGCAGCAGTGGATCTATCTGTGTGTATGTTTAATGCCCATAAACTTTATTTGGGTTTCTTCAACTTCATTCCAACTTGTGATTGCGATTGGACTCCCTTTCACTTCTTTGTACCAGTTTTTATTATTTTTTGGGTCATTGTTTCCTCTCCCGGGAAAGGCCCTCTTTTACTTCCATTATCATCATAATCAACAGAAAAACTTCACAACAAGGGGGGGCGGGGGGGAGTTTAATAAGCTGAGTCGGTCAGCGCAGACGCAGCACATTTTGGCTTCCTCAAAATCCGTAGCGATGGTAAAGACCTCCAGACGCTCCTCATTCAAACGGCCCCCGGGTGACAACGGCCGATAACAGCTGTATGTGATACACCGATGAGTTTCACAGCCGGGCTGCAGCGGAGGAGCAAGTTGGGGGGGGGGACAGCATGAAGCCATCAGAGTTTAAGACACATATCGAGGCAGAGGATGCTGCTGATGGACAGCTGTGACGGCTGAGGTGATGGAGAGGACACTTAACAGGCAGTTCATCTGCAGCCAGGACTCTATCTGCGGGGACAGAAAGCTCATACTCAGCTAAAATCGATCATTTCCCATTACATTCCTTTGATTAAAGAACTGCTGCTAATGGTCTTCACTTGAATTCTACTGTTTTAGGCTCCCAACCTATTATGAATATCATTTAGTTGCATTGTGACTTTTAGTCCAATGAAATTGCGTTTATAATGGGGTTTGATTCAGTGCGTCTAATCAGGTTCATTCCCAGAGTTTTCTCTGAGACTGCGCCTAATCAGAAATACTTCCACAGAGAGTCCATGAATATTAATGACCATCCAGCCTGGACCGTTACAGATTTAGTCCTGGTTTCCATACGCTCCACTGTAAAAATCTTAGCATTCAAACTAAGTCTCAAACCCAATGTGCTCATACATTTTAATAATCACAGGCAGGAAAACAGCTGAGCTTCTCCGGGAGTCGACCGATTTCTAAGACTTCTGCTTCTGTAGCGTAAATCTGGCCAACATCAAATATTAACAGTGAATCTGTGAGCTGTAAAAGTTTACTGACAACATATTCTGTCTGCAGAAGTTCATTATGTGAAGGAGACCTGGCAATAAAACAAAACGTATAGCTTTGCCCAGAAGGCATTTTTAGCCCATCTCTGCCACTGCCTTTACATAATCTCATTGCTTCTATATGTCTCTGTCACTTCTGTAATGTATTTATGTATTAAATTGTGTTTTTATTGTTTTGGAGTACTTGTTGAAGCCCCGTGACATTTGGCACTCATTTGTTCTAAGCTGCCCAGGGACCACGGATGCAAATGAGCTTATTAACACATTTACATTCAAGTGTAAACCGCAATGTTGATTAATGTGCATTGTCTCTGGTAAATAAATAGATAATACATTCACCCTGCAACCAAAGTGACAATAAAGGACGTGCAAATCTCATAATGACACACACACAGTCAGTAATAGTGCATAATAATAATGATAATGCAGAAAATGTTCTCGATTTACTGTTTGGTTCATAAATTGTTTAAAATGAGTGAAAAATGCTTAAAGCCGACGTTATTAAGCTTGTTTTGTCTGAACAACAGTCCCAAAGCCCCAATATATTAAGTTTACTGTTACTTAAGACAAAGAAAAGCAGTAAATCCCCACAAAAGCAAGAAAATCGCTGGAACTGGTGTATATTTAGCATTTGTGCTGGGAAAATGTATCCTACACCGCCTTATCTGAATTATACTCCTGTTCTTAAATTTAGATTTAATTTACCTCTCACTCATTTTATATGTGCACATTTATTTGACCTTTTACTTTATATTCAAACTAATTATTTTCTTTGTCTTTATCGCTTGATACTGTTTCATTCTCAATCCTGTATCTTTTATTTCATCTATCTTATATCTAATGAATATATGTTATAATTATTTGATATAGTTGAAAATTAAAAAAAGGCTCAATAAAAAATATGTGAAACTTTTAACTATTAATCTGTATAAATAGTTGCTGTAGTGGATTAAAACGACTGTTTTAATGGTGCACTTTTCCTATATGAGAGTTTTTCTTGTGATTAATGTATTCATATATTTCTAAAACAGATTCAGTGTGAAACTGTGTTACAGCTGATTTATTCCTGAAGAGTATTTTTCATTTGTACAAAAAGGAAAATCTCCCCGTACTGTAAATCCTAAGGGAACACACAGTATCAACAGCAGAGGGACTCTGTGGATTTAGAGATAAAGAGGGAGGTAAATAAATAATAATATAAAAAAGAAAAGGTAGACGGAGGTGGAGTATAAATCAGTCTCAGCTCATTCAGTCTGGGGGCTCAATGAGACAAGGATGGATGTTCGTCACCTTCACCTACTTGCTTCATCAACGTCACCAAGTGCCAGCAGATGAGAGCCATTAGCTGTGAGTGGCGGCTTTACACAACATGCTGTACTGAGCTGTGCTGTGCGGCCAATCAGGGTTTGGCAGCCGACCAATCTCCTTCGTATAATCAAACTATGATACAATAGAATCTGTAATAAAGCAATGATTGTGTGTGGAAGGTAAACAGATGTGGGGAATAAATCATCCACAATGGAACCCCCCCCAAGACCATCTGAGAGATCTTTAAATGACAATGAGCTGTTATTCAATGCTATGTGGGATAAGATATCATTTACTGGGACATGTGTCACACTGGTATGAAATAAAGTTGTAAAAAACAATGATTCATCTCTGGAGTTTAGGAGCTGCTGATCAACTGACAGATAAATGTCGCGATGACTCTGCGATGTGTAAAAGTAACAGGAAGCAGATTTTTCAGTACCTTCCTCCTCTTTCTGGCCTGTGGGTGATTCTGTCCGTCCTGAGCTTTGCCCAGCAGGTCCGGGAACACCAGGGGTTTGAGCGAGCGAGAGCGAGGGGTTCTGGGATAGCGAAACGGGTCCATCATCCGGAAGTCCCTCCCGTAGCGCACAGTGCAAAGAGAGCGCGAGCGTAGGCGTCCTGCGGAGTGCAGGCTGTTAACACCGATCATGGTCAGCCCAAAAAACACTGGACATTCAAAACCTGCTCCAAATGATTCAGTTTTTATCTTGCAGGAAAGAAAAAAGAAAAAAAAAAGGAGGAGGAGGATCAAAGGAGATAAAAAAAAGTGTGAAATGAGGATCGTCTGATGTGGATGCTGTCCAGGGGATGCTGAGGCTGATGTGCCAACAGACAGCTGGAAGTGAATTCAGCTGTTACAGAAAGCAGCCGGTGATCAGCGGGGAGACCGCGGAGGGAGGCGACACATCACCAGGCTGCTGTCAGCGGCACCGGCGGACCGTGCTATCAGCAGGCATCAAACCCCCCAACAGCCTTGTCCCTGAATGTCTTGATCAACGCCCACCAGGCAACACCGGGATACCCACCTGATGCTGAATTATTGATGGCCCGGCCATGTATTATAAATGTACACAGACGACTCCTTTTGCTGCCACAAGAAGGCGAGACTCTCTTCTGGTGCAGGTGAGAATCGGTCACAGCGGTGCAATAAATCCAGCACTCCTTCTTCCAGTGCAAGTGCTCAAGTTTAAACCGGGGGGGAAGGAATAAAGGAGGAGGAAGGAGGAATAAACTGCAGTTCGGGGCAGTTGAATCTGT